CAGCTACTCAAATCCTAAATAATTAATTGCAAATTCAAAGTGATGTTGTTTGCCTTTAAAGCATTTTATATAGTTCTTCTTCTTGCAAGGTTTTCATTTTTTTTAAAGTATAATTTCCATTAACTCCCGCTTTTAGTCAGGCTATAAATACCAGAAGAACAGTCTCCCTCCTGGTATTTTGGCACTTCTGTACATTTTCAAAGCCAGAAAAAGTAAGTGAAGAGACATGAAACTGAAAAATAATGAATATCATAAAGAAAATATGACGAAAAAAGTTAAATAATGCACCCTACGAATGCTCAACAAAAATATATGCACCTTTGGATTCAAATAGTGTCCCATGTAGTACTTTGTTTGCTACAACATGTTTATTCCAAAGCACCGCTAAAACTTGTCTAAAGCTGGTATCCATGCCTGGTCCTTTGGCACAGCTCTTTCCCACATTTTAGCACCTTATGACACCAGGCTGATTCCTATTTCACTTTTACAGTATGAAATATGAAACACCTGACCTAGGATGTTCTGTAGTTTAAATTTAATCCACCAGCCCTGAGTTTACTTGTCTAGGATTCAAGTAAATTTGACTCAATTCCTATCTCCACCTACTCGAGTGGTGCCTCAGACCCATTTCTGCATAATGATTTGTAAGTATTTGTTACTCCCTGCATGCCATTACACAAATAAATCATAAATCCTTATGAGATGTTTCCATACCTCAAGGGGCTGTCATTATTAGGCTAGCACATGATTTCAAAGCCTGATAAAAGAATAAGGCATTATCATGTCTCTCTTTTTTAAACATTACAAATCAGTTTGATCGAGTTACCTCACTCAAATATTACATTAAATTGTGATTCAATTATTATGTGTTCCAGAGTCTATTTTCTAACACATATCTAAAGCAGATTTTAAATTTTAATAAAATCTAAGAGTAATAGGAGTGTGTGCACACACACAGAGACACTCTGAGATAAAACAGTGTGTGGGGAAAGAAGCTCTCACTCTGCCCCGTCCCCACACAGTGTCTCCAGCAGCATCTGATAAAACCATCACTGTGCTACTCATCATCAAATACCAATCACACCCAACCCTACATTATAGTTCAGCATCCAGGATCAGATGAAGATCTAGATCCAAACAGTGCTGCACACTAAAGCCATCTTTAAAGGGCTATTTTCCTATAAATAAATAGCCCTGTTTGGCTACTTTTTTCTAAGGAATTCACAAGTGTTGCTCACAATTTCTAAGCATGGACAAGTGTTGCCCAGCATATGCTAGAATTAGTGCAAATATCTTCCATATGCTTATTCATGTTTAATAAACTGGAGTGATTTTTCCTGATGCTGACTCGTAGGAATTGTATCATTCTCCTGAGACAGATCCATCCAGTTCAATAAGACCAACACAGAGATGGCACCACAGCAAGAGCCTAATCCTGAGAAGACTGATTTTCCCTTAAGGGGTCTATATTTAAATAGACAGTGTGGACAGAAAAGAAAACAGTAGTATCTTCCTACTTGCTATTATGGAGTTTTGGGGAGGCTTTTTACTTAAATATATATAAGTAAAACATTGTATCTTATGGATGATACTGCTAGTCTTTATGAACTTTGGAATATCAAGTAGACTGATTCCTAAAACTTTCTTATCCCAGCTTTGCCTTGCACTCATTGTTTGTTATGGCATCATTTGTGAAGGTTTTCCTGAACTTACCAGAGAACCAAACAATCCTAATTATATTACCTTTATTTTATTGCTAAGTTGAATGTGTCCCTGCAGTGTTATAGAAATCCTTCTCACAGAAAGCTGCCCTCAGACTGCAAGAACAGAAACAATATATTTTCATCTTAATTTTTATGCTTTTAAAACATGCTGAACTGACATCTCTGGTGGCTGGAGCCTAATTTTTTACACACAGAATATAAATATAAGAGAAAAAAACCCCAAAAACAACACAGCAGAAGCTTCCCATGGCAACTTCCTTTGAAGCTGTGTTTGAGTGATTACCTAGAGGGAGTAACAGAGCATTTCAGCTTCTGTGGCTCATTCAATCCTGTGGCTTTCTGATGAACAAATACAACTGCAATGTTATTTACTCAGATATAATGCCACTCTAGAGTATCTGGTAGGCAGGTCACTGAACACCTGTTGTAAGGCAGTGACTTCCAGTTGATTACTGTACTTCTAAATGACAAATTTTATCCTGAGAATCTTCCACTGTGTAAAGGTCTAGCACAGAATCTCTCCAGATCATTACAGGAACTCAGTTGTCATGCACTTATCATGTACCTTAGATTTCTGTAATTCACTTCAGCTCCCACTCAACAAATTCCTTCCTACTAGTCATATCGTGATTTATCAGTGACCCTTTCTATCTTCAACCAACAGATACAGATATTTCCATCTGTCTTTTGCTGGACGACTCCCTGCCTTATTCCTCCTCCAATTTTATAGTTCTGATGATTACCCTGAGCTTTCAAACTCTTCTACATCATTATGCCCTAAGCTCTCTCCATACCAGACACAGTCACACTGGTCAACAACCACAAAAGGTAAAATGCTTCAAATGCTATCAAGATGTCTCATTTTCCCATTGCAACAATTTAACATTAATTTAACATAACATTTTCCATAAACCTATTTTTGCTTTCCCCTAGCTATAAAGAACTTGATTAATTAGTTTGGTTTTTTTTTCTTTTTTTTTTGCTTCATATTTCACTGTCTTTTTTATGGGAAAAAACCCCTTGCCCATGAGAACCTTCTGCTGGAACCACAGCAAACGTTTATAGTGCAACTGCATATAAATATTTTGGGTTTCTGATTTTGCTAAAAACCATGTGTCTCAGTTCATGCTCACTACTCACTAAAATCTTTGCTGAATGCTAAGTAAGCCTGACAAGTTTTCCAGTTGTGCACTGAAAGCAATGAGACGTATGCAACATGATGCACAGGGAAAATAATTCCTTTCAAGTGAGTTTCTCTTTGATGTTCCTGAAAAGACTGAATACCAAGCTCATGGCAAAAGCCAAAAGTGTATGGGAGTCTGAAGACTGAAGGTGATGAATCAAACCTATCAGATAATAGGGTCTCTTTGCTCTACAGGTAATAAATATTGTAGTGTCTACTAATCTAAATCATTGAGATATGCCTAAAAATCTGCTTTCTTACATGTTTATGTGTTTCTAACTGGAATATCTTCTGCTCATTTAACTCACATCATGCATTAGCAAGGGCTGATCTCTCTTCATTTCCTGGAGATGTCATATTATCAGTCCAGCTGAGTGTATTTTAAAGATAAACTACTTAATTAATTCATCATCCAAGTATATTGACTATCTATCAGAGTGAAACAGTTCAGTTAGGATGTTCTCCTTCCATGCTTTTGCACATGTCAGCTAAAAGGGACATTAAACTACTGAACTTTATGTTTGTTTTGAAACTGTCTTTTAATCCACTTAAGAGTCTCATCCAGATCTTGAAGAACAAACAAGCACAAGAGCTGGATTCTATCATGATTAATTACAATGGAAATCAGTCCCAGCCTAAACATTAACTGAATGTTTAATCTCTGTTAATGCTTTTACTGAGTATAAAAGACAGTTCAATTGAAAAATAATATAGTATTTTTATTATCATTATCCTGTTTTGTTGTTTCTGCAGCAAGTGCTTCCTAGGGAAAAAAAGTATCTGGGAAAAATTAGGAATAAGAGGTTTTGGTATATGTGTGTATGAAGACAGTGTTGCCAACAGAGGAGATACTTTAAGATGGGATAAACCATGGAAATAGGGATAAAGCATGGAAATAGGCAAACATACAGGAGATTTATTTGATTTGCACAAGCCAACTGCAGCAGTCAGCACGTGCAGAATGCCAGAACTGTGTGGGGAAGTGGGTAGCAGCAGGTGATGCCTGAAAGAGGTAAGGCACAGTGTATGACAGAAAGTAAGACAGACAATCCAGTGTCAGCTCATTTTCTTTGTTTAGAGACTGGCTCATCTAACCAGAGTGTCCACTTTGCCTCTGCTCTTGCCACATGCATGAGTTCCTTTTTTAGCATGTTGGGGAAAGTGAATATGCTTTCAGCACATGCTAATTTATAGCAAATACCAAATGTTTTTGATCATCCATTATGTTAGAACAACTCCACAAGAAAGAAAATCTGTGTCATTTTTCACTCACTGTTGTTGTCTCCTCTTTGTCCTAACTTCCCAGAAATGCTAAAAAAATGGATGGAAAGGTAGTCAAAAAGCCACATATGGTTAATGACATTAAACACTAAAACACTTTGGGTAGTTATCCTTCTCATAGTATTTGCACTAGTTTCTGCACAAGAGGAAAAAAAAAAACAAACCCAGAAAGTTCATCACCTCTTAAATATTGGATTTACTAAACCATGAAACCAAACTCCTCAAATTTGGGTGTCGCAGCTCATTCCCAAGGCCACACTACACCATTGAAAGACCACCTTATAAACGTGCTACCTTTTCTTCCCAGTGGAAGTTAAACTCCTCTATAACCACTTTGCAGCCAAGCAGCAGTAGGCATTTTGTTTTCAGGGCTGCGGAAAGATAGCATACAGCACGAGAGAGAAAGATTTTAAAAGGCAAAATATCTCAAATTATTTTTTGCTTTATGAATAAGTTCAGTTACAGACATAACTATTAATCTTTATGCCAGTTCACAGTAGGTTACAGCATTTTAAGCAGTCTCCATTTGAGGTCCTGATCTGAACTCTCTAGTTATGCATAAGCACTGTCATAAATCACCATAAACCATTTTTCTTATTCTGATGAGGACATTTCAAGTTCTGTAGAAGACAGAGTCACCCACTGCATACAACACTGATTAAATTATAGTAAGAGGAACATAAACCAATCATCAGCACACACTCAACCACTCCCAGTGCATGTCTGCCTACCAAAGGCCTGGTTCCTACACCGATATACATAGATATTTGCATGTTCCCTTACTTTGGGCAATTTAACAGCCTTATACTCACATGACTTCCTATTTGCTCGCGACCTCTTCCTCTCTCTAGGCACCGCTCGCTGGCTTGGCACTTGGGTGGCGGATTTGACGATGCGATCCATGATCTCATCCGCGGCGTCATCTGTTGCGTTCGGTGAATCATCGTTGCCAGCATTCCATGAACCGATACGGCCTGGAAAAGTCCAGCAAATGAATTCAGGGAAAAGAAGCGAGGAAGTCTCTTGCATCACTTTGGTTTTTGGGTTTTTTGGGAAATTACAGCAGGCAGCTCAGTCATCCTGACTTCAATTTGACCAAAAAAGAAGCAGCTGCCTAATGGAGAATATTTCTAAATAATTGCCTGGACTCTTTGCTGCACCAGGAGAGAGCCAAGAGCTCAAACACAATTATAATATATATATATGTATATATATATGTATATATATGTTTATATACACATTTTCTGTTCCTTTAAGCTGCGGTGTCTTGGTCTTGAGCACACAACTGGCAAATGCCTGCTAGAGGCTGCCTATAAGCCAAGGATGGATTGTATTGTGTGACCATGTTTCTCTCTGCTCCTATTACAAAGACACTAGAAGACATGGCGCATCTTAGAGATTGATGCAAATCAGAAACACAGGTCCTTTTGTACTGAAAGAAAGAAAGACACAACAATTTCTGAGCATCTGCATCACAACCTAGTGCAAAGGAGACAAGAAAAGGGCCTAAAGTGTGGTTTGACATGTATCATCCCCTTCACAATGAAGAATTCACCTTCCTGTCAAAGAGCTGTATGTGTCCTGGCGTGACTGTGTGTGCTCTGTTGCGAGTGGAAGAGTTGTTGGCAAGATGAAAAGTTGAAAGAAATTTTCGTTAAAATCACACACAAACAAGTGAGCCATATTTCCAAATCCAAGGTCCTGGCACTCCTCACCCCACAGAGCATTGTGTAACACATCTTTGGGTTCCTCCACTACTGGCTACTGTTCTGTGTGCATTTTGTTTCTAAAAGGTTAGTGTGCAGTGTGAACACTGACAGTGAGCTTTGCAGGAGTGGATGTGGTACAATTGCAAGCAGCTAAGAAATCACCAGCAAGGCCATTTTATACCACATCTCTGAAGTTCCATAAACAGCTTTGATTAGGCCTTTACTCAGCTGCCTTGTCTTCTTGTTTTTTCAGGAGCAGTTCTACTATAACAGTGCTCCTGACAAGCTTTTGTCTGGCTCACCCATCTTCTGCCTCTGCTGTTTTTTCTGGGGAACACAAGCTGACTCTCACAATCAGGACACTCCCCTCATCAGCATTCAGAGGATTACTTCAGCTGTTCAGCTTGTTGCAATGCAGCTTGAATTATTTAATCTTCATACTTTAGTTAGTTGACTGGCTTCTTACACTGGGGCTGTGAAACTTCTGAATTAGCCAGGATCATGATTTTAAGCCTTAGTAAACTACACACACACAGAGCTGGATGTGCTATCAGTTGTATAAAAAAAATTATCAAGAAAGTGTAAGAGATCCAGATATGAAGGAGAAGAAATACCAGAGAAGAAAATGAGGACTTGAATTTTGGTGCATCATCTTTACCCCAAAACCATCTTCCATGTATTGCAAGTATGGGAGGGATGAGGGGAACACAAAAGCAAGTACCCATTACCTTTGCAGTTTAGCTTTAGCAGGGAGGTGGTTAAAAGACACATCACCTTTTTCTTACCCATTTTCTCTCCAGTTTCTCCCCAGTCATTCATAAAATACTGCAAGGTTTTTTCACTTGAATTTGAATTGCTACTTTCTACTTGCTTCTATTGAAAATAAAGAGAAAACCACATCCTGGATTCTCCAGATGGCCCATTTTGCTTTCATGATGAGAACAAGAACTGGTGTGTTAGTGGGCAGTCACCATCATCATGCAGGGAGAATTGAAAATTTCTGCAGGCTTGGACTCCTGATACCCCTACTCTGGCTGTGATCTATGTTTTGAAATGTCAGGAAAATTCTTCTTCACCCCCTTGCCTCAAATCACGTCTATCATGAAAACACCACTGGGATGTTCTCCTTCCCCTTCCACCTTTTCAGCTGCAAGTGCTATGCAAGGGGGACAAGACCCATGTTTGGGCCACTGTGTGGCTACCACAGCACAAGAAATGTGGCCATGAGGAAATTCTGGCGCTTACCTCGGCTGGCCCGGCTCCGAGTGCGGACGCCGAGTGCCATGGTGCTGTCCCCCCCCACGGAGCAGGTCTTCAGCACAGCCTTCATGTTCTCGTGCTCAGCAGCATCCTCGGCGTACTGCAGGCCCTGGGGCTGGCTCTGGCAGGGCGGGGAGCTGCTGGAGAACTTGCCAGACTGTGGGAGGAAAAGCATTTGTTGTGTCAACTGAGAACAGCATGGACAATAGGCCAGGGGCTCCACTGTGAATTGCAAGGAAAGAAGTGTCGTCCCAGACTTGGTTTGCAGCAGAGCTATTCCCAAAAGAGTTGAGCAACAGTTGGTCCTCTCCAGAGCATTCACTCTGACCAGAAATAAACCTGAAACTGGGTGACAGCAGGGAGCAGACATAGTCAGAGGAAGAACAGATGCATTAGCTCGAGCTTTGTAATTTTGACCTTATGTCTGAGAGTAAAAGGTACAAAGCAAGGACTTGCTTTGAAACCTTCGATCCAGACTGGGTCTGATCTGGGGTCAGGCATAATGCTGAGAGGAACAGCATGAGATCCAAGAGAAAAAAAGAATTGCTTTTTTTTCCTGTACAATCAACTTTCACTAGCAAGGCAAAATGGGGACAGTGGTCTAGGAAGAGACACCTTTCCCTCTGACTTGCTGCTCAGAAAACTCTCAATCTGCTCTAAAACACAGTTATCTACAAGTAACTTTAATACACATTGCCACTAATGCTTAATAAGTCCCTGGTCCCAAAACATCCAGACAAATTATTTATGAAACACACAGAATTGCAGTCAGAAGAACAAACAAAACCTTACAAGAGATAGAGGAGTCTACCCTCTGCTTCCCTGTCACCATGACTATGTGAACAACAGCAGCTACACCAGCATGGCATGCACAGTGTGGGTATGCAGCAGCCCCTCTAGTGACCAAAACAACCACCTAGGAATGGGTGGGAGCAGCAGAAGTGGGTACTTTCTAAGGAGAAGGGCTTGCATTGCTGGGCGGCTGTCCCTTCCCAGACTCTGCCTCCAAAGGGCTTGGATGCTGGTATTCGCCACTGTGCTTTTATCTACAGAAAGGACAAAGCACACTGAAAATACAGCCCTGACTGCAGGAAATACCGACCTTGTTGACAGCAAACAGGCATCAACAGATAACAATAAACCTCGGTACTCTCACTCATATCAGCCCAGCATCAGACACCGAAGTATGTTTTGTTATTCCTTTTAATCTTTCTTACTCTAATTCAGCACAGATGAAAGGACAAGTGCTGCATTCTCTTCTTCCTTTGCATAATAAACAACATTAATTATTCACTTGATCATATCAAGCCAGTCAGTTAAAGGGATGCAAACCTGCAAAGCCCTTTGTCAGAGAATGGTAGATTGAAAGAAAAGACTGGGCCCTACTTTCAGAGCTTTGATCAAGTCTTCATCTGAAGACTGCAAATTGAAAAAGTTTAATCTGGAAACCAATGATAAGATGATTCTGTTTTAACATAGTGACTTTTTGGGGTAAGATAGCAAGTTAACTGAGTAGCAAAACAATAATCCCTAAAAGGAACTGAGCTAAATATACCAGTAAAAGACATATTTTGATAGCTAGAAGTTTGTTTTCTTGTTAAAAGATTAGCTTGTTACATTTTGATGTGAAAAATATGCAAGTGCTAGAGTTTCACATGTGAAATTAAGAGACAGAAAAATATTAGAGAAAAACTCCTATGAAAGGACATGCTGTTTTTGCATTAAGACTACCCTCTTATACAAAGTGGGTTGTTCAGTAATCAATTCAATTTCCAAAAAATTCCAAAGGATAAAGCCTCCACACAACTGTTAGTTCCTGTTCACACAGGTTAGTTACATGTTGGCATAAACAGGCAAATTAATGTAATTTTGTTTCCATGCCCTAACCTCTACAGCACAAACCGTGACTGGGGGCTAAAGCTCTAGAGCCAAGTTCTATTTAATTTCCTTTATTTTCAGATGTTGCCATAAATTGCTGGCCAAACCCCAGCCTGGTGAGAAAATGACCACCACTATGAAACAGTGAGCATTAAGCCACATTGCTTATGTTCAGCAAATTGAAGAAAGCGCTACTACTGAACAAAAAATGCATTGCAAAAAAGATGCTCCTCAAATCAATAAACATTTCTTATGAATATAGCTAGAACATCACCTTCAGGAGCACTTTATGATAGATACATGAACTACTCCATGGCTCATCTCGATGATCAATGAAGTGTCTCATTCTCTATTTATACAGCAAGGCAAACAGATAGGGTTTGCTTAACGTCCCTATATACTGATGATTTTGAAAACTTTATAAAATAATACCATGTGGGGTTACACAGCTTAAGGAGTATGAAATTATCCTGGTAATCCATAGCCCAGGGTAACTTATGATATCCATAACATTTAGATCACTGATGTTTTGGGTAATGGGGATAGTTTGCAGTACATTACAGACAGTAAGGAAAAGAAATGAGGAAACTTAAAATTATTAAGCCCTCAGATAAGGATATCCTTATTCAAGAGGACAGGAATGCATACAGTTAAAGCTGACTGTAAAAATGCATTCTTATGATTAAGACAAAAAGGTATGAGAAGTATGTCATGGTTCATAGTTCCAGTTGAGCAGATGGAGTTGAGCAGTCCATACTATCTGAGTTAGAAATTAGATGGCACAGCACACAGGAGACATGAGATGACATGCTTTTTCAGAGAACCATACCTCAACATCCTCTTCTTCATCGGTCTGCCACTGGAAACAAAGGACAAGGTGGAGAAGGACAAACAGCAAGATTTAAGAAAGACAGCACCATCAAACCGTGACAGAGTAAGAGGTAACCATGGTACTGTTTATGCAATAGGAGGACATAAAAACAGAAGACATATAAGGAATTAATTTTCATGCCTTAGACAGCCAGCTTGCTTTTTTTTTTTTTTTTTTTTTTTTTTTTTTTTTTTTTTTAAGCTGATTGTACGTAGAGCAGACTGTCAGTGGGGTATGTAGAAATTTCCTGATTTTCCTCACAGAAATGGCGAACTGAAACTACCCCTAACCCATCCTATTTCTCTCCCTTGAGTCCTGCAGTTGTTTGCCCCATGGAAGCTGACAACACTAAGTAGGGCTCCTTCTCCTTCTTCCAGCTCTGTGCAGCACAGGGAGGTCCTGGCTGCTGTTCCTCTCAGTGCAGAGGTCAACTTCTTGGCAATTCCTTTTCTCTACACTTAAGTGTTTGTTTTAATTCCTTTTTTAAGCTGGGGTTTTTCAACTTCCAATTCAACAGAGCACTCAAATCAAATGCTGGGTAGTCTTTCAATAAATGCTTAAAGTTCTCCAGTAGCTGCCTGATACCTGATCCTGGAAATCAGAGGGATGCAATTATCCATTGTTATTCAAGGCCTTCGCCCTCTGTGACAGCAGGCATCTAAAACTATCTTGATGGTTGCACTACATTAAATGCACATACAAAAATATTGTGGGATATGGAGTATTCTTAAATTTGGGGGTTTATAGGGAATTAGTGAACAATTTATATCTGTATTCCCAAGTGCCTTGGGAATTCTTCACTGGGTTAGAAGATACCCCACATAGAAGTTTCTCAAAGTAAAACATGGCTTCTCAAGTATCTGGGCTCCCTGTTTCCATAATTTGCAGTTTGATTGTTTATAAAGTGCAAACATAGTCCAGAAATTTTATGCACTTCTTTATTTGTGGGTTTTGTTTTGTTTTTTATAGAAGAAGCATTCCACCAATAGTATTCCTCTCCCTCATGTTACTAATACACATTTTTGACCTTATCTCCATCTCAGCTCTGATTTCTGTCTGGGATTGATACATTCTGTTCCAGAAACATTCATCATTAAAAATGAAAGTCTGATTTACTTTGGCCCTCAGTTTAGTTTCAGCACAATCTCCATAAGAAGATTAGCTGTGACTGCTGAGCAGCACATTAACATTACTTTTTAAGGGTATGTTTTATGCAAAGAGTGAGATGCTTATTCTAATTTGGACACAGTGATACTGACAGAAACTCAGGCAGTGTGTTTTGCAGAGGGACCATGGCAGGTATGTTCCCTTTGCATTAAAATTGTCTGTCTTTTTTCTGTCCCCCTGGGGGGCAGGGAGTCACTATAAAGCAATTCTTCTAAAGAGGACCACTGTTCACTTTTTGCCATGAGTAAGAAACAGAAAGAATAGGAAATATAAACAGTCTAGTATTCTAATTCTATCTATCTATCATAAACAGTCTTGTATTCTAATTCTATCTATCTATCTATCTATCATCTATCTATCTGTCTAATCTAATGCATCATTCTGTACATTCAGCTAATAAGTAAAGGGCAGCAGGAGAGTAAATTAAGCTAAACAATACAAAAAGGCAGTCAGGGCAAGATAAAATAGTAGAGAACACACACTACCAAGACTGTGCTCTAAACAAAAGTGTACTATAGTATTACTTTGTATCAAGCTAGCTTTTTACAGGGTAAAGGACCAGCTGCTGACCTTCCAGCCCATTTTATCTAGCCAGCAGTGATTTGCTGTGGACTCACTTTAAGGGCACTTTGCTTGACTTTGCTCATCTCCAGTACGTGGGCATTACCATTTCTGTCCCTCCTGCTCTACATGGAGAGCACTCACTCCTAGAACCACTGTCCTACACACAAAGCTACTGCAGTGCACAGGAAGAATAGTTCACCACTCTCTTCATATTTCCGTGTCTGAAGAGGCATTTGCTTCTAGCAAATACTGACAGCAGTAGTAAAAGCAGCAAAATAAATAAATCAACCTTATGTTTCACAAGGGAATCTGCTCTCATCCTGGTGTGTATATTCTGTCTTGTATTTACTTCTTTATTTTGTCATTATAAAAACCACTGAGAAATAGCAACAAATTAAGAATTTTTTAACATGTAATATTATCAAAAAGCAGTGAAAGAATATTGGTATGCTGAATACCACTTGCAGACACAAGATGCTAATTTGAAGGAAAAAAGGCCATTTGATTCTTCTGTCATTCAATATTGGATGTTGCAGGACAGTTTGAGATCTCTCTCCTTCTCTTCCTCCTGCCCTCACATTTTTCCTTTAGGGTAGCATTTCTGTGCAACAGATTTGCTGTTTCAAAACATTATGTTTATTACATAGCAATTTTGAAATTGAAACTCTTAAGTATCAAGAAAAGCAGAGCTTCATAAATCTGGGAGACAGATGCTTATATTACCTACTATTATTAAAAATCATTTAAAAGCTCAGACTTGTACCTGTAATTGCATTTCTTCCCTATTTTGCTTGCTCCCTGAAATGAGTGCCATCATTGGCTAAAGCCAGATATAAGGTTACAGAGACTAGGTAATTTTCCCTGTGAAACTGTGGCAAAAAAAATGTTATTTTTTTTTTCCTTACCCCTCCCCTCCAGACAACATTCACCACGATTTAAACTGACAGTGCCCAGTCCACTTCAGCTATTAAAGAACATATAAACACAAAGGTATCTGTGGTAAAAGGCTGAAAGAAAGACTGGAAATGTTCCCCATTGTGCTCCTGAGCCCTACTCTGTGTGAGTAGTTGAAGCTGATGCAAGTTCTCCATGTAAAGAGCCAGCAGACTCTCCATGCAACAAGCCAGGGCCCCTCTGCCTTCCAAGTCTGCAGGGGGGACAAGGTTGAAGAGATACAGGCCTTCTCCTTAAGAACTGGGCTGGTTCTGGCTTATTTCTTTCCTGCTTTTGTCACAATCCCTCCTCATCTGCCCAAAAGCAGTGTACTGCGAGGTGATCAAAATGAGACCCTGAGGAAACTTTCAAAAGGACAGGGAGGTAAATTTTCAAATTACTGCACAATACTTTTAGGTCACCAAAAGCAGAAAGTAAAATTCCATATGAGTATTGCATATTATAATCACTTTCTACAAAGAATTTCTTTCCAATGTGAAGATCTCAACTTTCTTCTATCAGTATTTTGTAACTAGTGAATCACTGTCAATGCATTACTGACCCATCACCCCTTTCCAAGCCTTCAAATATAAAACACCAAGAAAATCAAGACCAGATACAAACCACAGCCAAAACAAAACTACAATAAAATTCCACGTTTTCATAATTCTTCACACATAAATATCTTCCATCCTGCTGACTTGGAAACTTATTCTGAGGTAGATATAGCTTTGAAGTTGTCAGAGGAAGCCGTGACAAATAGTCTGATGCAACTTCAACTCAGTTTTACCATATACTGCAGTTCAAATAAAAGGTAAATGAGGCCGTATTACTGGGCTATGGTCAAAGAGATTTAGATAAGTTCTGAAATAACTATGTGGCCACATTAATAACTCCCTTAAAGAATATTCCTGTAAGGGCAGTTTTAAAGACTGTTGGTTTTTACTCATGCAGGGTTTTTGGTTTCAAGCTAATAGGACTGTTCTATAATTATAAATTAGTGATAGGCAAAATATACTCCCTTTTTTAAGATCTGCAAGATATTTTTTGGTGTAACACTGTCAGATGGCATTTAATTCTTGCCAAATCTCAACAGCATCCTGAGCTTAACATGGGATCTTCCTCCAATACTACTTTTGTTCTGAGAAAGGCCTTGATGCCTCCTTCCCTCCATTTTCAGGCCATTGTCCCTTGTTCTGTCCCTTGCTGACTCACTGTCAAGCCTGAGACTTTTTGTGGTTTGAAAGGGTCCCATTTCTCTGCTTCCTCAACCCAGCTGCCAGTGACCAGAACTCCTTTCACTCTTACATTTTCTGCAGGCAGGATATAGACAAGCTTTTTGTCCTGGCACAGCAGTTATTCTGGACAGATAATACCGAAACACTACATTATATAGTAGGAACATAGTAGGAAAACAGTAACTCCTTTGCATCTCAGTCTCAAGCTAGTAAAAAGTGTCAAAGCTATGTGAGGGAAGGAAAATTTTAATTTACAAAGTGCTTTGGTTAATGCTGTCTTTTGGCTCCTTTAGAACACATCAGGAAAACGAAGAAGCAATTGCAGAAAGTGATTTCACTTCTCTAGTGGTAGTTTTGTAAATTTGTATGACTGTATTATACCCTTTGTATAAAATCAGAGCCTCTTCCTTAACCTGAGACTACACCAAAAGAAAAAATCCTTTGATTATAATGCAGGTTTAACATTTTCTCTAGACGGGGCAGATTTCCAAATGTAAAGAGGATATTGCCAGGAAAGATCTACAAATGATTGTGAGTCAATGACTTAAATAAAATCTCAATTCATGTCAGTCCCAATACATATATATGTATTTATATATTTATATTGACCCATGTTGCCTGAGCCATAAAACTGTAATCAGCTTTGGGTTTTTCATGCCAAAGGCAGGGGTAGCTTCATGTGCAATGAAACACTTGCATTTAATCGAGACTCCAGATCTGGATTTTGAGACAGCTGGAAACTTTTATTAAGTACTGGCACTTCTTAAAACACTATTTGGATTGAGTCAAACTACATCAACTTTAAAAAAAAAAAAAAAGTTAGAAAAAAATTATAAAAAGGGGATTTTAAAACCTATTATGCTGAGAAAACTAATCTTACTTTAATTTATTCTATGAGTATGCAATCTTACAGTCAAAAAGTTTACACAGTAACGTTATGTGGACATAAATTTGTCCATCCTTTCAGAATCCCAAAGTAGTCTGTTGCCATAAAATTGGCTGGTCTGTGCTCTGAAGTTAAGAAAAAAATGCACATGAAATACATGTATATATGCATATTTATATACACAGACATAAAAAAAAAATATCAAGGTTCAAGACTACTAGACTATTTAAAGATGGAGAAAAAAATCCTTTAAAATTTCGCTGCAATCACTTATATAGCTACAATGATTTATCATCTAAATTATGTCCTCAGTTTGAACTCTGATTTCTAGGATTTTTTTCTTTTTCATGTTCTTGGCTGGTCAGATACACACTGATGGCTTCTGATGTCTTCTAGATATTCTGGAAGCTGTCTGTGCAGCACACAGAGAAGCACTTTTTGGATAATTAATTTCAGTTTGTTCTTCTCCTATACAATTTTATGAAGCAGAAGTTATACACAATCAAGGACTTGCAAGTCTTGTCTTCTAATAGAGGACTTGTACTTACAGCACAAGGACCTCTAAAATTAAAAATAGAGTAGCAACATTTCATATACCACATGCACTGAAAGAAAGTTTTAAAAATCCACACTATGGGAGATACAATTTGCCACTTACATCTGTTATCATCTTCCCTCTGGTCTTGTTTCTTTCCCTGTGGTTAGCTCGTTTCTGTTTTTGCTGCAGAACTCGTTCCCTGGTGGTGCGGTATTCCAGAGCAAATTCACTAATAATCTTGCAGAACTTATTGATGTTGACTTCACGTATCGCGTAGGGAGGATGGCCCATAAATAACAAAAATGAGTGAAACCTGGAAAAAAATGAGTTATAAATGTAAAGGGAAAAAATCCTTATTGATGGTCTCTTGGAAAAAAAACAACAACCCTATATTTCACTGAATCCATTTATTACTTTACTAGCTCCCATAATTTCCTTTGTGCTACAGAATTTTCATGGATGCTTTGCATAACATTGGTATGTTTTATAATTAAAACCATGAAAGTCTAGCCTATGATAACTTCATCCTAGTCTACTTTCCCAGGCTGATGCAGGAGATAAAATATTTATGGAACTCCATCACTTTATATGACTAATTTGGCACGTGAATGACCAATTTAATTTCTGTTATAGAAAAAAAATATTTATTAAGTTTCAATTCTATTTATTTGTATTAAGCAACTTCAAAGAGGCTCTTAGGACTTTGGGCAAAGTCTAGACAAGAAGAATGCAGATTTACAGGCTAGCAAACACAAGAAGGAAAGAATTTCTGGTTCACAACACTGACCGTAAAATTATATTATCTACCAAGTACATTAGTTTGGGACACTCTCAATTCACAGTTTTACTGCTTCTGTGGCATTCAGAACTTTAGCACTATTTGCAATTTTTACTATTGCTTCTATACTGCATGATTTACAGCAGTACACCAAATGTGTAAAAATATATGAGAATTCCTTTTAACTGCAACTTGAGGACAAGAAGTTTTCCCAATCTTAGAAAGATGCAAGTATAGCAAAACATTTTTAAAAACTATCACAGCAGTTGCAGGATATCAGAGGAGAAAGTTGATATTTCTTTTACTTCACAATGCCTATGATAAACACAATAGGAAACTAATGAATTCACTTCCCTTCCACTGCAACTGGGATTTCTGCTTACTTGTGGCATAAACCCTAAGTCATTACAAAAACGAAAGAAGAACTGAATCAACTTCTCAAGAGTATACCCACAAATTTGGGATCATTTGGAATCAGTTCTTAATTTTGACCACAGCAATTTAGAAATTATCCAGAAGTCGGAAAATCTCACAATTTCATTAAACCCAACTGCAGATCCTAAGGAGAGGAATCTTAAATCTGCCTTCAGCTGGTATTAGCATAAAACACATAGTCAAAGATCTTGCAAATAGGAGTGGTTCTGCCTACAAAAGAGCTCATCGTACAAGACTGGTTTCAGCTTCTGCATATGATGAATTTGTCAACAAAACTTCATTTTTTGCTACAGTCTCTTCTTTTTTATCAGACAGTAAGCCAATCCTCCTTAAAAAATAATCCAGGATTGAACAGAAAATGTATCAACTTAACTACAAACCTGTTAGTTTTTGGGGACTAGGAGGCAAAAGACAGTTATTGCACCTTGGGAATAAATGACTGCCTGGATGATTGTTTTTATTAGTCAAAAATATAGAAATTTCTGGAGTGGGGCTTGGAGTAGAGTTTCTTCAATGGAGACTATAACAAAATATGCACCACATACAACCCAGCAACATTCCCTGCAGGAACAGGCATTAAACACTTACAAAACACATATCTATGATGTCATAACTGTTATAATTTTAATAACATGTTATAATTTTACCAAGTCATTTACTATCAAGGTATTGCTGTCACCAATATAATTCTGTACCTGTTAATTATTCTTCTATGAACAATCTTCAGGATTATGATTCGTTCTGCACAGTCTTTAAGGAACTCAGACATTTTTTGCTTTAGACTTGGCTTCATTTCATGCTTTGCTATAGCCTTAAGGTGATCCCATGATGCTTTGCACCGTCTTTCCATCTGACACAAGTTTTCCTGGAGTTGTTCAAAGTCAACCTGAAAAGAGAAAGGAAAAGAAAAGGTAACACTTGAAGTGAAAACACTGCGGTTGTATACTTGGATATCCAAACAATGCCATCTGTGTGTATGAAAGAGTCAAGGTAGTAGGAGCACAACATCAATTAACATTATTAATTATTAGTAAAACAATAAAAAATAGCTTTCTCTATCACACTATGTCTAGGCATGTAATGTTAGTAAGGAAAACTGAAAACAAAGAAATATCCATACACATATATTTGGTTTTATTCCTGGAGGCCTAACATCTAAAAAAGGGGCAAAAAAATATTGTGATATGTTTTCTCCCTTGCTAATAACTTCATGGTTGCACCAAGCAACTGCATGACTCAGTTCTTTCTGAGGTAATACAAAACTTTCTCTTTTTCTAAATCCTTTTCTCTACTACTCAAAGCTTTTTATACCCTGTTTACTGCTTGCTGCTGTACCCCGCCAACAATTCTCCATTTTAGGAAGTACTTGGATCTATTCCCTGGTCATGCACTGACTTGTTAATAGATGATCTAGTTCTAATCACAAAATTCACGGGCCAGAATTTTTTAAAGCTCTATTGAAAGTATGTGTTATTTAGTGATCTCAGCACTAACTTTCATCCCTTGATATACAATACGAATTTACTGGCTTATAATGAGATCATGTAACGACTCTGAAAGTCTCTCAACACAGTTAAAAAAATGATTGCACCTTACAGTAACATTCATCAGGATAGAAGCCAACACATTCCACAGAAAGTGAGGGAGAGTTTCTTCTTTATTCATCAACCAAAAAAGGTGTTCAAATCGCAATACTCTTACAGGAGACACTCAGGACGTGTTGCTAACAACTCAACAAAGTGTATCAACGGCCCAGCCACAGCACACAACAGATGAGAAAAATAAAACTACCCAACATGTTCTGAACTCTGAAGAAAGGAAAAAAAGATTTTATAATACCACTTCACAGTTCAGATGAACTCAAGCTATAAAGTACAGACTTAGCTCTCAGCTTCTAAACACATCAGTGCTTGGGATGTTACAGTCTCATAGACTGTAAGTTAATTCCTTAATGCTAAATGAAAACCAGTGTCAGGGGTAGGTTTTATTTCATTCTTCTTAGCTGTGTGCAGCATCCACTGCTGAGACCTATACTGAGAATAGCCATAAGAAATGCATTATTATTAAAAAGCTCCTGGTATTGATTTGATTTGTTTATGCTGTGATTTATAAAGTGATGAATTTTTCCTCTTCCCAAGGAAATAGAAACATCCTTTGATCCACTCTGCTATTCAGAAAAGCCCTGCAGGCGGAGCAGCTGTGGGGTATTTGCTTTCCTTATATCCATATCAATGCATATGTTAAAAAAAAAAGAAGTCCTTTCCAGGTCAGTATTTTCACTGCTGATGATAAACACATTGCTGCTCTCCACAGATGGTGTATCTAAAACACACATGGAGAAAAATACTAGCATTCCTGTTAAGGAAAAAAAAAAATTCCAAGGTTTAGGTCTTCTCATTATCCAACCTGGCTGAGGAAGCATCTCAGCCTCTGTAGCTGAGAAATTTAAACTCAAGACATTTTATGGCAGACTGAGTTTTAATGTATCAAAAAGCTCTGAGGTTCAGGCCTGTAGGGGTTCAAGAAACATATTTGGAGGACAACAAATCTGGGGGGAACGTGGTGAATTCCTGGCCCCTTGAAATCTGCCAACAGTCAGCACATTCACAAGAGTGGGAAGTTCCAGCAGGGACAGCAGCTGGCAGGTTGGGCTAAGGGACACTCATGAATTTTTCGAGCATAAACAAAAATTCAGTCTTCTGTGCAAGTCCTAAGGAGACTGCAGTAAGAAAAAGACCACCTGAACTCTCCTGGAACAAACCTCTGTGGAGCACAGGTGTGCTCAAGCAGAAGCTGTAAACTCCTGGAAGGAGTAACATAGGAACTCCAATACAGGACAATGTAGGCAAATGTACAGTGCCTGAAAGAATGTGCCAAACCTTCATGGAATCTGTGTCCGCCAGCTCTCTAGTGTTTGGTCAATTGCTTGTGGACAGAAAGGAATATACTTGCAGAAAAACATCCTCATGTGAAATATTAAAGTTCCAGTTTTTCTTGGATTCAATCAGGTACCCCATCTGATACTTTAAGAAATGCTATTTCACCAGTGCCAATTTTGTGTATAGATGCAGAATCCATGACATTTCAGTCTGCTCCAGGTCTGTGGTTCTGCTTAGGATATTACATACAAATATAACAGCAAGAGTGATGAGAAATCCCAACTACAAGAGATCCTCAATCATGTGTTCATATGATAAGGAGAACAAAAACTTGTGTGGAGTAATAATTCCAAATATTCAATATATTATGCATAAAGAAAACATAAAAAGGCATTTCTAATACCATTCTACCTCTTTACCAGTTCACACAGCATTGCTAAGGGAGCATGGATTGCACCTTCCGATTTATGTGCTTATTTCCAACACTTTACTAAAGGAATTACTGATGTATAATAGTAGAGAAATATGAATCCTCTTTTTTGTTCTTCCTTTCTTGGAACAAAAGATGCACCAATTCTTGCCTGCAGGTGGATGGTCATGCTGGGACTAAGAAGGAACTCAGGGGAGTTGTGGCTCCAGGAGAGCTCAGCATAGGAGGTACTCAGACAAGAATTGCTATGGCATTATTTTATAACTATGCTCCACTGAGTAAAAGAAAGCAGTAATCTGAAATAGTCATTACAGCTTTCTTCCCAGACAGTAGTGTATAGATATTGTACCTGCCCCAAGGATTTGGGGGAAGGTGGAAACATAGATTCTTCTTCCTGCTCAGTACATATGGGTGCAAAAGACATGCAGCTTGCTGCCTGAATAGTTACCTTCTGCTAAAATTTTTAAAATTAATACATGTTCTTTTCTGCAAGAAAAAGAATGAGTGGTCTTAGGCTGTTATGCAAAATAGGAAAGTCCTTTCTTTCAAACACTATGAAATGTTTATTTTAATTTGTTAACTAATTTAGAAACAGCAACTTTCTAAATGGTTCTGGGACATATTTGATATGTTCGTCATTTCTCTGGCCAGGTTCCTCTCCATTCACAATCACACTGGATAAAAAATATTCAGAACTATTGGTATATGTGAAATTTCTTGCCAGGCCCACTGTTCAGTCTTCTGAGAAGTGCCTTAGTCGGCACTGTTTGATCAGAGGGGAGTAGCCAGAGACAGTATATGCAAACAGGATGTAAAGGCCAGCTTATGTGACAAAAGCCCCTCAGAGTAAGCCTCAGTAAACCACTGCCCTAAACTCACTAATGGGCAACTTTAGAATTAAAAATCTATTTTTCAATTTAACACAGCACCATATTTTGCACAGATGACTCAGAACAAAGAATAAAACCCTCCAACCACATGCCAGAAACAGCAGCAGTCACTTTAATCACTTTATATCATTATTTACTGCTTGCTACCATAGAAGCAGATGACTTTGCCATAAACAACAAAAATAAAAAGAATTCTACCAAGTTTCTCATTCCACTGGGCTGAGAATTCAGTACCTCGTGACAGACCTACAAACAAACACACCAGAACACACCAGAACAAACAGCTTCTCTTCTCACTGTTTTTCACCTGACTCAAAAACTGCCACCACCATCAAATGGCTCATCATTTACTTCCCTGCTTGTTCTGGTTCCCTGAACTTTGGTCCTTACTAGGCCTATTTTTTTCAAGTTCAACTCCATTCAATACCATATGCCATGTATAAAAGTTTAAAACTTTCTCATTCATGAAATACTATACCATGCTCCAATCATTCAGGCAGGACAGGGATCAGGGAGCCTTTCTGGTCTTTGGGTTGGAGTGTTATTCCTCTGTGTGGCCACAAATACCTCATGGCAACACAGGAATTGCACACTTTATTATTTGTTGGGACAGAGAGGAATGGCTGCTTTGGGAATTAAATGCAGCAGTTCAAACCTGAAATGCCTTCCACTATATATTCCCCAGGGAAGCATATACAACTCCAGGTATGCTCTGCCATGCACTGCCATCAACTAGAGCCACTGTGAGATAAGAGGTCATTTTTCTTCAGCTTTCCCTTAGCTGGAATGTGCTTTACAAACACGTTTCCTCTTCCAGCTAAATCTCCTCTAGTCTTTGGGCTAAGCTCCCCCACTGCTGCAAATACAAAACCATCCTAAAGTCAAAGCTGCTGCACCTAAATACACTCATGTTTCCTGCCTCCTGTGTTAACATTCAGCTCTTCAACAGGGTCAAAGATGACACGCGTGGATTGAAGCAAAAAAACCCAAAACAAGTCAATGAATGGAAAATGATGAAGCACTTATTTTCAAAATCACTGTATCTAAAGTTTGGTTCTGAAGGCCAGTGAATAACTTACTACATAGCCTCAGCATGCTTGTGTAAGATTTCTGCTGTTTGATACTCTATTATTTATTGGTATAGCTTCCTTCTTTCAGTCGTGAACATATAAAATCCAGTTATTTTCTAAGGAAGACCTGGATCTCTGCATTTTTTTCTTAGTCACAAGGTGCATTTTAGAGAAGATGGATGCTTTCACAATGACATGTTGTCTTAAATGCACAATAAAATGACAACTATTTTATTGTACCTCATAGAAAGATATACATAACCACACACAAGCTTTCTCTTTTCAAAGTTCAAGATAGTTTCTTCAGCAGACCACAGTCTAGTCTGAGCTGTTTATAATTTAGGGTCAGACCGTTCATTCTCACATTATTACAGGGATGCGTTCTGGCAGGGAACATGAAATCTTCCTCTTTTCCTGAGTTGGTGCAGTGCCAAAGGAAATTCTGAGAATTGCTCCTTGCAAACATACTGTCATCTGAGAGCAGTGACCTTCTGTGGCGTATGTTCAAAATTTTGTCTCCTCTAATATTTCCAGGCTGGTTTCCTTCACCAAGTGTCACAAGAATTACCTCAAGACCCTTGTTAGTCTGACTTGCACACTGTGGGCATGCATTTTAAGTGAGACAGATGCCAGCTCCCTAAAGCAAGCAATACGTAAAGAAGGCTCTGCCCAGACATTTCTAATTTTAGTGTATGAGGTGGCGTCCTGAGAAAATAATTTTGGGAATGAGAGCACCTGAATCAACCCACTAATGAAAAATTACAGGACAGAGGTGGCAGAGGCGCTTAGTGAGGTATGACCAGATGAGTCTGTCCAATTGTACACAGATCTCTACTGCATTTTACTTCATTAAACAATATCCTAACTACATGGGATCTTTTTGCAGATGCTGTATGGCTGTTCCCACAATCTGGGACAAAGGGGACCCATACCACACAGTGGTGACGTAGGTCCATTCAGGTAGTGTTATGTCACCTGCAACAATTCCGGCAGTCGTATCACCTGGAATGTTATTGAAACACCACAGTGCCATCAGGCACATGTGCTAAACTTCATCTGCTCTCTTTGAGACACAACCTCAAAGTATCATTTGCCATGTAAGCTCCTTCCCCCTTGCCCCAGTATGCTCTGCAGCCAACAGGATCTGCCTTTCCCTGCTCTGCTTTCACCTCTGCTTCTGCTAGCCCATGCCATAATCCGAGGCAGCTGCTGGCATCACAAGGAATGACTGCAAGAAACCTTGCATTCCTGGACATTTTTTCCATGGAAAATAATTTGACTTTTGGCATTTATTTTTGTTTGAAATAATGTAGGGAAAACATACTTGAATGATAACTGCACACAGATACCTTCTGTCAAGTGAGACACAAGAAACCCCACGGAAAGAGTACAGGAGGCAACATGATTTTCCCTAACATTTGTTTTTAAATTTTTTTTTTTTCATCCTTTCTCTCCTTTCCACTGTATCAGGCAGAAGCTACAGCATGTCAAATATCACTTCTGTTCCAGCCAGCTCCTGCCTCCTTATGCCTCCCTGCTCGGAGGGCAGGCTGCTGCAGGCTTCCTTCTCCCCTGTGTATGCCTTAGGCTCATCTTAAGTTCTTTCCTTTCAGCAATCCTTGTCCCCTCCTGTGTTGCTAACATTTCCTGTTTCTTACTTTTAAAAGCTGCCTGCTTCTCCACTGCTTAGTAGCTGTGAGTGTCCTGTGCCCAAGTGTCTTGCTGCAGGGGTTAAAAACCAGACAGAAGTTGGACTTGATCTTGTAAGTCAATTAAAATCAGGGGAAGAAAATGACAATTATAGTTAATCTATAGAGCTGGCCAGTTTTCAGATTCACAGGGGAAATATTTATGGGTTAGAGAGAGAAGATGAACATTTTTAATAAGGACACATTTTTTATTCACTAACAGAGGAGATATTGGGGTTGAGACAACCACTTCCCAAGGAAATTTCTAGGAACAACATTCGATCTTAACTGCAGAAATCTGTGGGTCTGCTTCAGTATTAGGTTCATCAGTTTTGGTAAAACTTCAATGAAAAAAACAACTTGAAATATCAAGAAAATAAAAAGGGCAAGTGATTTTAATAATGTGATGCTAAATAACCAGTGCTGTGCATGAATTTATAAATGCTTTTATTTATCTAGAATTGTATTTTTTCTCTAATTTTTTCACTTGTGTCTGTTTTTTTGGTGCCATTTATGACTTCAGTCCTTCAGTAAAAAGCCACAAATTTTGCAATAACTATACCATTTTGTTTCTGGACTTTCTAGCTCCTTTTTGGTGGGGCAGCCTGTTTTTCTTTATGTTTTTGAGTTTTTTTCATGAACTAATGCTCAGGAAATTCTTATATGATGCGCATTACAGGGGAAGGGGCATCGCTGTTTATCTACAGGATGGAAATTGTTTAGCCTTTGTGGTTTCTGAAAGATGTTTGTAGGCAAAACAGAGCTCAAAATACAGCCTAATCCACAGTGATATATTAGTTCTCCTTTCCTGTCAGCTTTCCTAAACCAAGATTTCGCCTTGTCTGCGAACATTCCCTTGAAGAGGGCAGCTTGGATGGCTTCCACATCCTAACTCTCTGATTTGTGGCAGCTATGATCAAGTGGGAATAGAGCTTGTTACAGTAATCCATCAGTGGTTTAACACATGCAGGAACATCCCAAGGAGGGAGACTTTGGGCGACATGGGGAAGGTTAAGGCTATAATTTCTCTTAATGTGATTTTGTCTGGCCTTTTTAGATTTTTGTCCACTTTGGGCAGGGCCACTGGATCAGCAAACCACAGACTGAAAGACTGTGCTCAATTTTGCATGCTCTTAGACCTAATTTTTTTTCTTTTTAAGTGACAGCAGTAGGTTAAGCTTTCTTCCACTTTCTATGACTGAAAAACAGAAGAACCACTTGGGAGAATATCATACATGGTGGTGAGAATTTTGGAAAACAAAGGCTCTTCTCCTTTGTGGTAATTTTTCTTCATAGCGATTAACTTGATCTCAATCTAAGAAAAAAGGGAAATAACTTCTTAGCAAAGAGAAGAACCAGGAAATGAGAAACCAATATACCTAAATGTTAAAAAACTAAGAATCACTCAAATAAAAACCAAAAACAGAATAGAAAGTTAAAATCTTCCAAACATGAGAAACCAAACTCACTGAAGGCAATAAACCAGAGCCTAAACATATGCTGTACAAGAGGAAAACTAGGAGAAAAGAGATGGGATCTAAAGAGGAAGTATTTCATCCGACTTCACCACAGAGGATGTTGGAGAAAAACCTACTTTGGTGCTCCTTTCCTTTTTCTGTATTATATTTTTAAGAGATGAGAACTAATAGCAGTTTTGAAACCTTACTAGCAGAAACAAATGTTGGAGAGAGATGGTATCTTACAAAGCAGTAAACAAATAGAATACAGTAATTCTAACATCAAAATAAAGAAATTGAGCCACTGGTTAAAATGAGTATGAAAATGTACTTGGTAACTTGGAGAATCAGAGGATAGCAAAAGTTTGGCTATCCCTAGAAAAGTAGCAAAGTTGATGCAGAGGTCTAGGTTTCATTACTTTATCTGGTAACTTGGCTGAAATGATGAGTGACAGGAAACTTAATACATAAAAATAACCACTATGTTCTGAATGCTTATAAAATAGGAAATAGATAAGACTAAGTAAAGAAAATTAAATTTCAAAATCTTTTCAAGGGACTCATGGGAGGCCACCTATGAATTGTGAGGCTAAGAGAGCAAAAGAAGAGAAGGAATACACCTTGATTCTCATTTGTTGACAGGGCTAACAGCAGGCGTCTCATGGTTTGTACTTTGTATTTCAAAATTATCTGGAAACGAGGAAGCACATCCAGATGGTAAAACCTACAGATGGCAGGAAATTATTTAGATTAATCCTGACTGAAGATTATTAGGGGTTTGAGAGATAAACCGTAAATCTTCTTCAGCAGATCATGGTCACTGCTGTAGACTGCAATGAAGTGCACAGTGCACAGCAGCATCCGACTCTGTTGAGAGTTCTGAATGCTCTGTCAGCTCAGGAGACTGCCTGGATGTCCTTGGGAACTGCCCTGGGACAATGGGTGTCCAAAGGCAAAGGGTAGCAGCAGTCAAAGAACACAGAGAAAACCTCAGAACATCTAACAAAATGTAGCACAATGTACAAACATACATTGATATACATTGATAAGGAGAGGCTGGGGTACTGTACTTACTACTGTTTAATACATTCTAAAAAAGTAAGATGAAGGAAAAGTGTGGAAATGGTCTTATAAACAAAAGATATAAAAGGATCATTTAAGACTTAGACAAGCATCTGAGCAGCCTGGTTTATCTGGTCTCGCACTGAAAAGGGTGATGGATCATATGACCTTCAGATCCTTTCCAACCTAAGTTATTCTGTTAATTAGAAAGAAAAAGTATTTTTACTGCTCAGTATGTTCAGACAGTAATTCCTGAAACCAGCAAATTGAACAGCAGAAAAAAAATAGATTATGAATTCATTGTTGCAAGAACTGCACTAGGAGCCAAAATAAGATTTCATTTTTGCAGTTTAAAAAAAAAAAAGTATTGTATTACACAAATGTCCTGGATTGTGAGGGCAAACAGAGTTGTTTGCCCCCAGTTTCCAGCTCCTCTCAAAACATCCAAATAAGGTGGCCTTTGGAAAAGTAATCATTCCTCTATTTGATGTACATAATTAGAATTATGGCTCATGAAATAACATTTTTGTAGGAGAAATCTTTCATTCCCTTAGAAACTTGTCCTCTTTTGTCAAGCAGCTGGTATTGGCCACTGTCTGAATCAAGACACTGGACTAGAAGAACGCTACAATTATCGGCTGTAATTATTACCATTTCCATGAGACATGACTCCTAAAGAGAATTTTTATGGCTGCTATCTCTGGAGATGCTCAAAACCCACCTGGACTTTCCTTCTGCAACCTGCTTTAGATGAACCTGCTTTAGAAGGAGGCTGGACTAAGTCATATGCTGATGTCCTGTCCAACCCCAGCAATTCTGTGGTTCTGTGAGTTAAACCAAGTATTTCAAAGACTCTTTAATTCTGGAGACAAATTTTATTAGTAAAAAATTAATTCCTTCCATTCGATTTAAAATACAATCAGTCATCTGCCTTATAAAAGAGATTCCCCCAAGCCACAGAATAAATATGTTTGAAGATACTGGTCAAATGAAGTTTTGACCTGAAAATAGTTCCTAATATTTGTATACATTAATAATGTACATAACATTAACATGGCTGTCTTAACCAATGGCTGCCTAAGAGTGCACTGATGAGGGAACCTTGTGACAGACAGAAATAAAGTTCAGAAGAGGGAGTACTGGTGTCTTTGGAGCTCAGTGCAAATGACACAAGGAACACACATTTATAAATAGTGCTGCAACCACAGAGGATCAAAAAATCAAAGAAGAGAATAGAAAAAAAAATCTTAAATATTTCTCTTCAGAGAGGTGTTATAAAAATGTACATATAGATGTATTTACCTACTGGACATACCTTGGCTGACCTAGTGATGGCCCCGATCTCTGAATAAAGATCAGTGCTGTCTGGGAACTTTTCTACCACCATAGTGCAGACATGGTGCAGGAGGGACTGTTTGTGCACTGTGTCCTTGACTTCTGGAACCTTCTCGAGGTAGCTCAACTCAAAAGCTTTGGCCTGTAATGGAAAAAAAGACATTAAAAATAAAAGGACATTCAAAATAAAGACATTAAAAAAAGAAATTAAAAATAAAAATGCTTACTCCTTCCCATGCAGATTAGTAGATAAAAATGATAACCAGTAAGGGGCAGAGGGGAAAGAAGAATCCTACAGGAGAGGAAACTCATTGCTTTTATTAATTTTTAACTTGCTGAAGACTAGGCCTAAAATCAGTCAATTTACAGTGAAATGACTCATGACACAGTTCTCACACTTTGAGTGCAAAGCATCAACACTACACTTAAGGGAGTTACACAAGAAGAGTGCTTAGCTCCACTTTCCTTCAGATTATGCTGAAAGAGGCAGCACACAACACAGAACACCCTAACACAGAATAAAAGCATATTATATTCCCCAAATTATTTTTCTGGCACAAAATAAATAGTGGGTTGCAATTTTTACAATGGTTTTGACTACTGTTTTTTGAAGGAGAAAAGCTGCAGGGGAAATGCTTGGACTCAGGCTTACATTGGTTCCATTCAGAAAGTTCCCAATGGCTAGCAGAGTAGAAAGGATAAATCCCAAAGTTTTGTTGTGCTCCAGTTGGTCCATTCCCTCCTTCAGGTCTAGCAGCGGTTCTGCAACTTCCTACCATAAGAACAGAAACAAGAAAGTGAAGGTTAGTTTTTAATTCTATGGTTTAGATTAATTACTGCATAAAGTTCCTGAACTGGCGTCTTGCAGAGTGTAAACTGGCCATGTGTGCTGGCTTTCTTCCATGTTCCAGCTAATAAATCACATGCAAAGACAGCAAAAAAGTTCATAAAATATTTTCCTACTGTTGTTCCTTTATGTATGCAACTGCCTTACTTGTCCTGGGGACTATCCTGTGATTCCAAACAGGAGAATGCTGCTGCATTTCAGCTAAATCCATGAACACCCCAAGCCCCAACTTATAAAAAAGCTTCTTAAAAGTATTTTCCTAATCTTTGAACAACAAATTTAAAAAGTTAGAAACTTTGCTGACTTAAAATTTGTAGCTTGACTCTACAGATTTCTTCAAACGATAGCCATTTCTGTGTTTTAGATATGGTTTTGTGCTTGTGAGAATTTAAAACTGGAAAAAAAATCTGCTGTAAACATCAAGCTTTACAATTAGTCTCATTTCAATATTTTAATTTAATGCATCTTCCACCTACTCATGTTATCTGAGTATAGATGTGCATACTGGTAAGGTCTGAAATCATAAATTCTGTTCCATTACCTCAGGAAGCGAACTACACCAGAGAGTTCAAAGGAAGAGAGTGAGGATAATTGAGTTGACAGAACTTATTTCTATGTCTCTGTGTGAGGCCCGGGGTTATTTATTTTGTATGCACACTAACAGTTCACATTGTTTCTATCTTCAAATGCCATTCTAAGCATCTGTGAGCAGAATTTTCTTCACAGAATCATAGAATGGTTTCTATTGGAAAAGACCTGAGGATCATCTAGTTTCAACTCCTGTGCCATGGGAAGGCAGAATTTTTTTCCCAATTTCCCAAATTGTTATAATTGGCTCTTTATGAGCCAAGAAACCAAAATTAAGCTGCTATTTTAGACCAAGAGGCAAAGTAATTGAGAATTTAACTTTCTTGGAGATACACAATGGTTTCTTCAAGAACATCCATAAAAGATGAATGAAATACATTTCTAGTCCCTACAGAACAATTTGTCTCTTGGAAAGAATGTGGAAAATTCAAGACAAATTAAGAGATAAGACAGTGATCTAAGTAGTTTATACATCAGAAGAGAGGTGCTAAATAATCCAAGGCTTTATTAAAGTGAATTTAAATGATCCTGCTGCACAATATTCTTTGAGTTGCTTTAAAGTCAGAGTTGATTTAGTTTGTTTTGTTGCATTATGGGATGACTCAAACTGCTCTGAATCTGTGGTAAACATGGGCTTCTGAATTATTTAATTTAGATCAATTTTCAACCTGTCAAAAAAACATTCCCAAAAGACTAAGGCTAACTTAAAACATTCTCCAGATGAATAAGAAGGAGGCATAAGAGGCTTCCAGCCTAAACCAGGCCATACTGAGCCCTTCATTTAGCTACTCAGACAAGTTATCTGATCTTAGACTTTTTGCATACAGTACACATTTATAATTACTCTTTATTTCTTATTTTATTGTAGGATTAAAAAACAATAAAAAAGACTGTGCAAGATACTGAACAATCAGACAAATTTCTGATTTTTTTTCAAATTTACCCACTCTTGCTTCCTATAAAACTCACCTTCTACCTAAAGAGGGCAGATAGATAAGGCAGAGCTACCTCATATCCTTGAAAGATATTTTTATTTTTCAGCTAAAAATTATGTTTGAATGAAATGCGAGGATTGGTCCAGAACTTCTGTCTGAAAGACACCTCATAATGCCTGATTCAATGTTTGATGGACATGTACAAATGAACTCAACTCATTGTATTTTTTTCATTTCTACACCTGCTTTTATTAATTTTGTGATCTTTTAAGTTGTCAGCAAAAAGGATATATTTGTCTGCAGTGATCTTAATAAAAAAGAAATCAAAGTTTCTATTGCTTTTTTAAGACCTTTACAGCTCCTTTGAGATAATAGAATTTGACAATATCTGCATCATAAGTAATTCCATACGAGGAATGAGTAGCAACACAGTGCAATTTTTTTAACCTCTTTTGTCTGTGCATTTAAATTAGGATAACAAAAGGATGGAGAGGGAAATTATTGTTCCACTAATGACTTTCAGTAAGCATTTATGTTAACATTCATTCATTTTTCTTTCATTTTAAATTTTCTATAGAGAGCAAAGAGTGAATATTTATTCATCCAGTTCAGCTCCTCATAGGCTGAGGATGTTCCCCACAAATGTACCCTGACTTGCTTCAGTTAATTAAATTCAAGCTAAGAAAGATGATTTCTCTTATTATGCCTGAAAAGCTTTTAATGAACATGAACATAAACAATGTATCACTTAACCCATTTCTTGAACAATTCATATTTGTTTCTTTCACGTTGTCAGAGATGAAGCTAAAACCTACTTAGGCAGAACTCTGTTCTTGGAGGTTAGCAGAAGAGTCTCATGTATGAGAACCCTGGTCTTAGCAATAACTCAGGTATTTCACACTGCTGGCAACAGGGACCATTGAAAACTTCCAGCCTCATGGAAATAATAGCACTCATATCTTACATAAAATGTATGTGTGAATTGGTAAACAATATGAGTGCTGAACTAATTGTGCTAATTCTGAATGGCTATGAGTTTTCCTTATTACAAAATAAGATTAAAAAAGAAAAGATCAAGCAAATGCCGGAAAAAATCGAAAGGCAAAGCCGTGGAGCTAAGTCATTTTGGGACCTATGTTTCATGAAGCGTTTGCCCTTTTGCAGATAGATCTTCTCCAAAAACATAGTTTCAAGAATAGAAGAATGTTAGCAGCTCAAGGGTCTCTTTTATCATCATAACCACTAATGCAAATTACTTCATTTTTTAAAAACTGAATATTACAGTATCTTATTTCAGTCTAAATAACATGTACATTTACAGATTACCTGGAACTCTGACCTTAAGCTTTTTTAACTGGAGACGCCCAGGTGCTTGGCCTGCCTTGCACTCCTGATGTCTGATCCTGTCTGTCCTCGCCCAAGACCCAAGCTGTCTGTCCTATCTATCCTTGTCTGCTAGGCTTATCATGTGCTCCTCATACTATATCACAGTTATCATGTTACTTTCTCTACCATTTCATGGTAAGTGCTGTGCTTAGTCCTATCGACCTTCAAACAGGGATAAAAATTTTGGGTTTGTCTTCCTTACAGCTGTTGCTTCTCTGAGTAATTTAAGTATTTGAGACATTTTGTACTAGCATCCATTCTACATGGGATTTTAGCTGGCAATAAATTAACTTTATGGCAAAAGGAAACTCTCAGAATTTCTTTAGCTTTTAGCAGTACTTCAAACGTTGCTTTTTGATTGAGAGGACACTAGAAATTCTAGATATATGCAGAGATTAACAACTACTGCTAACTCATCTTACATGAAAGGTACAATTTAGCCTTGTGGTAACTTTGAAGCAGAATAAATAGCTGTACCAGAGTGAAAACAAAACAAAACAAACTGGCAAAAAATGTTCATGCCAGATACAAGTATTTTGCTATACAAGTCAGAAATATAAATGGATAATGCTAAAACATTCCAATAAAAATCCTGAGTATTGGTGTGACTGCATGTCCTAACATCTAAGAAAATTAAATAAAGATGGAGTAGTCCTGACAGTATCACCTGCAAATCAATCCACTGTTGCACAACTCATTAAATAACCATTGCTGGGTAAACAAGGCATTTTCACAAGCATGTGAAACTTTTTTCACATTTCACTTTTTAGAATTCACATCACACAGTTATACTGACTTTTCAATACAAACCTATGTGCACAGATACATATACAAAACCAGTACGTAGAGGAGACAGCTGCTTTAACAGCAATGCCAGGTGTATACACCAGAAGTGCAGCCAAAAGGAAGCTCCTGTGCAGCGATTCCTGAAAGACCTTGTGAAAGGCAGCCAGTATCTGAAATCCCCTACACAGTTTCATTCTGTCTTATCTATGCACCAGAATTTTATCCTCTTTTTAAAAATTTTTGCCCATGATTCATCATTCTTGACAGACACCCCAACTACAGTGTTCTTTGAATGAATGCCAGCCACAGAGAAGGTGGCAACAACTGTGTGTGACTGAGTGAACTGTCTTATCTTTTGTTTAGGATTTTGAGAGCTATAAACAAAGAAACCTTAATGGATGGTGTTTTCCTTAGTTCAAATGGATGTAAGATCAATATTCTCATGATATAAGACTGAGTACAGTAGTCCTCACTCAATCTTTACGAAAGAAAAATTCTCATTGCTCTGAAGTAATTTCCTGAATAACAACATCTGGAGAAGATGTGGCAGAGATTTAGCCCTCTTCTTTGTTTCGATATCATTAGTGACTAATTAAAGGAAGGAAGACATAATCTCTTAATTTTATTTTATAGAAGGAAGAGATTATGAAGGATCAGTTTAGCTGTTTCCTGCTTGGCCACCAAAACAAAAGCGACCCATTTACCATTTCCTCAAAATGTCCATTAAATACCAAGGTCAGGGAAAGATTAAGCAAAGCCTCGGAAGAGTCTCCACCCATCCCTGTGCTTTCCCCTCACCTTTTCCACTATCTCATAGTCCATCTTGAAAGCCCAGAGCTGGAGCCTGGCAGAGAGTTCGCTGATGGAGGAGAGGGTGAGAAGGAACTGCTCAGCGCTGCCCAGAGGGACATCGGGATTCGCCAGCTGTGCCTCCTGGATCTTCTGCTTTTCCTCCTCGGTAGGGATCATGGTCAGGATTTTCTGTATAGGGAGCCAAAAGGCAAGAATCAGTGGTGGGGCTGAGAGGAGGGTGAGGGCTGGTTGCTCTGTGACCCCACAGCAGCCACAGTAAAAGTCCTCAAGTCCTTGGCTGTTAAATTAGGACAGCACAGTAGCAACCAAGAACCAATCCACTGCACAAGGAAGCAAAACAAGGAGTGATATCTCACTCACCCGCTGTTTGTTTAAAAATGTATCTGGATTGAAATTCTTATTTTTTTGAAATCTGTATTCAGTAGATAGTAAGTAGCTAATCATGGGATGAAACACTGAAGGGCATGAAAGGAAAATGGTTAGGACTGATCTCAGCAACTTTCATATGTTTAAGCCAGAACTTAACATCTTTCTTTAAATTACATATGGAAGTAAGAGTAGAAGGAACACAGTTTTGTGGCCTGTGATTTACAGCAAGTCAGACCAGATTTTAAGGACCCTTTTAGCTGCAATACCTACAAATCTTCTAGCACACTTGTAAGTATACAGGAATAACTTGAAGACTCCTGTCCCTTGCTGTCCCCATAATTTCTTACTTTTTTGTTTAGTCTGTTTTGTTTTTCTTATGGAACATGGAAACTATTGCAGCTTACTAGGTCACTCCTAAAGATTCTATCCTAATCGACAACTTCCCAAGGAACACACACTGAATTTAAAGCAGAATTATGCATTGCATGACATACGGCCTTTTTTTCTTTTTATCTGAAAAAGGATCTCAGTATTTTCAGTTTCTGCTGTCAGTGTGGCACAAAATATTTAAATTTTCCCTTTAAGTCATGCATTTTACAGGCTTGTTTAAATGTGGCAGCTTTCCTTCTGAAAGTATTGCTCTCCAAGGTATTGCTTCTTAATCGGTTTTTAACACAATAAATGCACTTCAAAATAAAAAAGAAAAGCAAAACAACATAAAGGCATCAGATAAGTTGAGGTCTCTACCCTACTGATCAATGCCTCCTTAAAGCAAAGCAGATTTTTAACACAACTTATATGTATTCATCTCAGGAATTATATGTTTTTGCTGTAGCCATCTATAATGACAGAGGCTGTTTTGAAGGGGAGGAGAGAATAATAAAAATACAGCCAAAGAGCTATCAGACCTGCCAATCCAAACTACAGCCTTGTTCCAACACTGGATATAGCCAATTCATCAAAGCAGCACAACTGCCCCCTTCCAGTACCGATAGTTTCCCTGGCTGTTTGTAAAGTACTGGAGCTAAGCATGGATAGAGAGCAAGGGACTTCTGATCAGGCAAAGAACAAGAGTTAGCAGGCAAATTATGTTCAATTTGTTGCTCTGGGACTTATTTAATTTCAGCCACAGTATTTCTACTGCTGTGCATTTTCTTCTGTTGACTTCCATAAACTTTAATAAAGAAGCATTTTTGCTGTTAATGTTGTCTCTCTCTCTTACTCTTTATTATAAACAAAGATGAAAACCAAAAAACAGCCTCCTTTCTGCTTTTCCTTAGCTTGAAAAGGATTGCTTGGAAAATATTCTGATGTACACGTGTTTCAACTGACAGCATTTGTGTATTGATTTTGAGATGTGCCTGCCATCCATCCATCCATCCACCCAGACAACTGAAATCTGTAACTTAGGTCATATCTAACATAAAACTAGATTTCTAAGTAGCTGCTTCATGGTCTCAGTGCTGAATCAATACTCATCTAAAAATGTCTGCAAAAAAAACCCCAGACTGAGACTGAAACTGATAAATAAAGATGTTTTGCAGTGTCCCTTGAAGGAGTCAGGCATCTTAGTGCCTACTCCTCTCTTCCACAACAAGAGGAAGACATACCCTCAGCTGAGACAGGGCAGCTTGCAGATAGGATCATATTGTACATCCATACATGGAGAGTTTAGCAGCAGTCATGTGATGGGTGTAAAAATGCTTCTGATGCATTTTTGAAGGCTAACACTGCAGCAGTATTCTCAACTGCCTCCTACAAATAACCAGGACTTTTGGCAGCTACCCAGAGATCCCACAAGTATTTTGTGGTGGGGCAATGCCTTCACTGCAGATTTTACACCGCTTTGGGGCATTTTAAAGAGAGCAAAGAAACAGTAAGCTTTATTTCGAAAGGGACTCTCCTCCTCGAGCTTTATATAAACATCACAAGATAGATGGAGCTGACAAAAAGCATTCAAGTCCAAGTTCTGCAAGACTGCTGTGCTGCATACCATACTATGTGAAACAGAGGATGCCAAACAAAAGAGCCTGTGCTTGTGGTGCCAGCTGCTGAGGATCAGTCCTGCTGCTGAAAGCCATGCCTTGGTGGGGCCAGAGCTGCTGGCAGGTCTCACACCATCCGGGATGCAAGTGCCCCCACAACAACAATCTACGCCAGCACTCCTGACCTGCTTGGGCAAATGATTTTGATCCTGCTGGTCATCATCCTTGGTGTGCCCCTGAGCAAGTAGTGAAATGCTCCTCTTCTTGATTTCCACTCTATGACTAATTTGAGCCATTTGTTCAGTGCTGGAAACTGATGAGTATACCATCTGCCACTTGATTATTATCTTAGTTTTTATTTCTATTATTTTTTGAAAAAAACCCTAACAGTAAAAGTAGCATAAAATCACAGCAGGGCGGAAGTTTACTGGCACCTGATGTGACCATTAAATCACAAACAGCTTAGAGTCCAATCATTAGTTCATACTGCTCTTCCTAGTACACAGAATCCCAGAGTGGGTTATGTTGGAAGGGACCACAGTGGGATTACTGATCCAAGCTCCCTGCTCAAGCAGGGCCATCCCAGAGCACATGGCACAGGATTGCAACCAGATGGTTTATGAGTATCTTCAGTGAGGGAGACTCCACAGCCTCTCTGGGCACCCTGTTCCAGTGCTCAGTCACCTGCACAGTAAAGAAGTTCTTCCTCATACTGAGGTGGAACTTCCTGTGCATCAGTTTCTGTCCATTGCTCTTGTCCTGTTGCTGGGAACTATTGAGAAGAGCCTGGATGAATCCTCTTGACACCTTCCCTTCAGATACTTAAATACATTGATACTCTCAGTTTGCTCTCTCCCAGGCTCCCTCAGTCTTGTAACTGAGGTGGTGTCAGCAACCATCAGGTCAATGTAAGAAGAACTGGTTATCAGTAAACCCTATGCTCATATTCTCTAGTACATGTGACACATGTATTTCACCTTCATGTGCTCTCACACAACTGTTTGGGCCAGAGCCTTATGTTTTGAGGAAAACATGTGTGCAAATAATCGAGGAAAATAAGCAATTTTTGCATGAGATAATGGACCCCAATTATTCTGCTGCTGGACTCAGCCACCTGCTTGAACTTTCAGCTAAGGGATCAGACTGATTATTTCCTGGACTCTGCCATCCTGAGGTATAATCTCCAAAAGTTTCTGAGAGGGAAGACTTACAAAAGCAACATATGGCTGAGGGTGATGGACCTCAGTGTGGGATGTAAGGAAGCATCTAAGCAGTGATGGCGAATAGCCCAGTGCCTCTGAGAAAATTAGGTGCTTAAGTTTTCTCTTTCATGAGATACTGGGGCTTCTCAGTGACTATGAGGTTGCAGGGGTGTCTCATCTTCGGTGTTCGGTTTCACCTGATCTTACCAGGTGAACAACAGCCTGAAAAAAATTAGTAACTCAAATATCTGTTTGTTGTTGTTGCGTCCAAAGCTTTCTGTGGCTTGAGGACCACAAATACATAAGCTGCATCACCAAGTACACGTTAGTGAGTATTTCACCAGATATTTGACAGGCCTCAGAAGACAATCCAACTCCTGAAAGGCTCTCTCACATTTCAGTTTCCCAGGCAGCTGTTAACAAGACCCATTGCTGCTTCACATTACCTGTTGAAATTTGAACAAAATGTAACAGCATATGAAAGTCAGAACTTCACTGTAAGGGAAGCTGCCTGCACTAATTTTATTATAACTCTTTCAAAAATGATCCAATTCTAGAAAGAATTACATCTAAAATGCTGATGACCATCTCTGTAAATCAGGAACTGATACCATTGCCTCAGTCAGACCATTCCTCTTCCTCAGCTCTCTACAAAAATACATGAACATGTCATTGCTGATCACAGAAACTGAAGATTATGTTTTGGTCTGCTTCAAGGAGAGCAAGTGTGGCTTTTTTTTCTTTTTTTTTTTTTTTTTACTAAAGTCTGAAACAGATTAGGGCTGTGATATGCTGACTGTGGGTCAGCAAGGCACCACTGAGGCCATTCTTTCTTCTGTCTAGACTTGTGAAAAAAGGTGTTCTTTCAGGTCACACGAGCTAGCATCATTTGAAACATCCCATCATGCTCTTACAAAGCATTAGACAAACAAACTGGAAACTGCAAATGTTGATGCCAATGATCACAATAAAAATGTAAATACCTTACTTGTTTCCAAAAATCAAATTTTGATTTTTGTTTATACATATCATTATCCGGATTTTTAACAACAAGATCTCATTTCTTACCCCTTTTTACATCTCAGGGCTATCTAGCCACTCCAGACACCAATACTTCAAGCTATTTATTATGGGTATGCAGGGTGTAGCACACCTGGGTATGGAGGGTACAGCACACCTGGAGAGATTTTTTTTTTCACTTCAAAGATTTATTAAAAAAACTATACCTACTAATGCAATCAACATTGTGTAGCATCACAAAGCCACATTGTAAAGGAGAAACCATGCTAATTTCCTCAAAGCATTACCCTAATTTCAGTCTGCTAAATTAACCGTAGTCTTTGGTATTAACTGATTTTGGTCCACATTTCCTTAATGAGCAGCCCTTTATCGAGGGATCCACTCATTTCCTTCTCTAAAGACAAGCACCAAGGACTTGTTTATTGGACTCCCTTCTTGCAGTTGCCTCTGATACATACAAATTAGGTGCCAGGATTTTAGGCTTGCCTCTTTTGCTTAACTCACAGCAAGACCTCATCCATTGTAAGGAGGCAGTTCTTTATTCTGCAGTGGGCTCCAAGTTGTTTGAACACAATGAATGCCAAGCTTTGAAAGAAAGGAAAACATAAACACTTTGGCAAATGTAAGGTGGCAAAATTTTTTTTTTAGCTGGACTGGCTCACGCTTGCAAACGCATGATGTGCATTCCTCTGAAAATACATTTCAAACAGTGCCTGCTTTGCATACTAAATGGACTACATCTGCCTTTCTAGTGTCATGGCCCCACTTTCTGCTTTATTTCACAGCTCAGGGGTACCTAACTGCTTTAGACCTAAAAATAGGCAACATACTTAGGAATAGAGGGCTTTAAAATAAGTGAAGCATTTTTTCCACTTAGTTATATATTTAAAGTTAAAAAGTAAAGTATGGATTACTGACAAGAATTCCATGTCAAAAAGCAAAGCAGCATACAGCAGGATGTAGGGTAGCAGCGGAGGCTCTATTGGACCTAGTGCTCTATGGACTGAGCAGATGATGAATTGGGCTATGCTGAAGTTGGGCCTGCAGCCCACTGCATCTCTGGTTGTTGCTAGCACTAATGCCAGCACTGCTTTAGTCCACTGTCCTTAAAGGAATTGTTAAGGTCAGTTTTAAGGCACCATTTAATCCACTGAGGTGCAGAACTAAAGCCACACACACCCTCACATGACAGTGACAACGCTCCTCAGCAAAGGACACAACACAGAGCTCACTGCCAAGGCAAAGGATGTTTAAGGTGACTTTTTACACTGTAGGTGCTCTGCTCTTTGTTGGATCTGACAAAAGCTGAAGATGAGCCTAAATTGTAGCTTCTCTGAAATATTAGCAGTGAATGTTATGTTGCCACTGCACACATCTCTTTTCCTGTTGTCTTTACATCTCTCTTCTGCTTACTGGATGTGACATCTCTTCTAGACAATTATAGTGCAGAAAGGCTTTTGAGTATCCACTGTGGTACAATTTTTTAATTAGGCAAATTGCATATTTTTTTCCATACCAGTCCTGCCTCAATCAACCCACAGATAAACTATCAATTGCATTATATAGCAAATTGCTGTATTATCTGTGGGTTTTTTTAATATATGAAGCTGTTTCTTACACTATTACTGATTCAAAGACGCTACCAATTATTTCCTTATATTTAGATAGAAATGAACCAGAAAACTTCTAAAAATCTAGACTGAAACAACAACCTCTCTTCCGTCTATGCTAACTCAAAGGCTAAAGCAAATGAACAGACAGATAAAGAGAAGAGACACAGGTAGCAAAGCTTGCCTACATTGTAGACCAAAGGGGCAGTATGGAGAACTGAGGCATGGATCTGCTGAAAACAGTGGGGCTCACAATAAAGCATTTTTGTATCAACCTGTGTGCTATCTGGCCAATTCTGAATTGCTTAATCCAGTCCTCTCTATCACTACAAAGGTCTGACTCTGTAGCATGCTGTAAGAAAAATATGAAATTTGGGATTGCAAAGGAAATCTGAATTCAGCATAGGGTTTTACCTGATAAGAAGTAAATAAATATATATAACTGAGGTAATAAAACCTCTTTTCTCCATGGACATAATCCTTCTCAACCAACCAAGACTTCATTCCTCAAAGTGCAAAGTATCTGGGCTCTGCTGCACTTACCCTTTCTCTTGATTTCAAATACCTGAATGATGACATGAGGATTACTCACATCCTTAGCTTCAAGCTGTGGGGACAGACCTCACAGACCCTTTCTTTAGCACTGGGAAAGTATATTAACAGTGTACAATTTCCTGGTTTCTTGAATTCCTCAAATTGAAATCCACCTTCATATATATTTTAAATGAAATTACGGGTTCCTGGCAGCTAATGGAAAGGCCGCCCAAAGGAGGGTGTGGTGGTACAAAGCACAGCTGTGGACACCACAACAGGTGGTTGGCAGATGGGCAGTCCAGTGACAAATGTTGGCAGCGGAAAAGGTGAGCTGTGCAGAGCACCTGAAGCCAGAGAAGGACACGATTCTAAAGAGATGATGCCCACAAGTTAATGAAGACTTGTTCTCCTTTGTCAGCCATTTTATGTTGGACTTTGTATGGAAACACTGCCTACAGCACTGAGATGTAACTAGCTGTGAGTTGGGCTTGGCTGGAGGGGCACTTCTATCCAACATTTTAAAGCTTAGTACTGCAGACTGCAGTGGTGAGTACATGGGCTGGATCATAAAAGAATTACTGGTTTTGGAGTGATCTGGCACCTTCATAATACAAGTAAAATATGCATACAGCAAAAAGTAATACAGCCTGGGGAAGATATGATGTTCTAGTAGGGATAAATCAGCAGCTGCCTTCTAGCTAGAAGGATCTTTTGCCTTAAGCATTTCTTTTGCATGCATCTGTTGGCAATACCATTTTCATTCCAGGAAGTGTTTCTCATTTTCTTTTGTAGTCAGCAAGGTGGAGGTGGAAAGGGGGAAATTATGAAACACAGCACCAAACCACTAAAAGGTGACTGTGAATTAATATATGACCTCTGAGAGCAACTGGTTGAGATTTGTAGTTATGCAGATTACTCTTACTAGATGATACAGGCTTACTGAAAAAAAAAAAAAAAATTGAAATGAATACGACCATAATTAAAAAAAAACAGTGGAGCCACAGGCTTCTTTTACACTTCAAGAAGAAAAATGTTTTGATAAAAAAAATAATAAACAGAGCTCATCTTGGATCTCGGTAAGAATATCTGCAAAGTCAAACATGTAGTGGTAAAAATTACATCATCTGTAATCTTTATACCAACTGCTTTTCTTCAAACAACAGTAACACAGAAATGCTATTCTGGGCAGAACTAGTTGCCGTATTTGTTTTCCATTAGATATACAATCTAGAATGACTCCAACAGCTAGCTGGGCATGAAATTTATTAAACCCTGTACCAGTTGCATCAGCCCCAGTAACACACTGCATATTTTTGCTGCTCACAGTATTTCAGTCAAGCTTCAAATAATACTCTGAAAAACCTGGCAGGAATTAACACCATTGCTACTCAAAGCAAGCAGATAATCCATGAGCACCGAGCATGCCCAACCTCAACCTTCTGCTTCTGAGTCCACTGCACTGGTTTCACAAATTTCAAGACTCAGACATGACATAATATAACCCCTTCTCCTTCTTCCATGACCAATCTGGCCTGTACCATATGCAACATGAGGAAAAAAAGTATTGACAATGCAGACTTGAAGACATCAACCATTCTTTCTTACCTCTATTCCTTCCTTGTTTAAGGCATATTCATCAAAGTTCAAAATAGCAGTCTTGATGGTGCGGGGAGGGGGCAGCACAGTCAAGCCAATATTAATGGCGTTGCTTCGCTTTGAGTCCAACACAATGATCTCCTGTCGCTTCCCATCTGCAGCAGTTTTCTTGGTAAAGAATGGAACAAGGTCATTATTCTTCTGATCTGTTTTATAAAGGAAAACTCAGTCCTTTCACTAATGACTTCCCCCACTCAAGAAAGCGGACACTGAGTGTAAACCTAATTTATTTTTAGGCATCAAAACAAGCTGAATTCTTGTAGCACATCCTTATCCTATCAACATGAGCCGCCAGGATTCAATCAGAGATCTGAACACTGCTGGGCAAAGCAGAGCCAGTCTGACACAGTCCTCAAAAGGGCACTTTGGGTCAGAAGCCAGTCTGAAAAATACCTGAAACTGCCTCTGCCAGCCCAGAGCTCTGCTATGCAGCAGGACTGGCCAGCACAGGCTTGCTGGGGCAGCAGCTGGGCAGCCAAGGCGCTCCAGGGCTCAATTCCCTGTTGGATACACCAGTCCGGTCCCTCTCTCTCTTGTGTGGCTGGCTGGGAAACATAGTAGTTCACACCTGCCTGCCATCTTTCTACTGTGTTACAAATCCACCTTGTACACTGGCAAAAGAGCTGTAGGTGCCTCTCTGGAGACACTGGCTTGCTTTTCTGACCTTTGGCTGCCAGGGGAAAGTTATATGACCTTGCTGCTCATTATATGTCTGTCAAGTCCTTCGTAGATGCAGAAAAATGACAACCCTTGTGCTTTTTACAAAGTTGTATTTGAGACTATCCATATCCTTGAATCTTATCTCCCGTACAAATAATAATAAATCACGAAGGATTGGCAACATATGCTTTAAATTCTGTTCTAGGGTAGACCCAAGGAATTTTTTTCTCTTTCTCCCCATCCTTACAGTGGCAAAATGTGAACCAACTATGCAAGGTGACTCAAAATCCACTTATATGGCATAATGTAGTGCTGAATGTGGTCTTTGCTTTTACACCTCAGCATGGCTGTCTTTCTCTCTCTCATCATCCCATGCTAGAAGGTGTCTCTTTGGTAACTACGTATGTCATGCTGGGTAGCTGAAAGGTGAGAGGACTCTGCTCCTCATACTCAGGTTTTTTCCTCCCTCTGCATATGCGTGAACACTGTAAACATGTTTTCTGTGGTTCTTCTGCCTTATCCCTATCAGAGACAGACTGAGGAATGCTGTCAAGCACAGGAGTATAGGGAGAAGTCCTGCACACTGATGGATCAGTCTTTCATCTCTTGTGAATTTGGGGAAAGCCCAGGAGGAGACTTACTACTCGAGTCTCAATCTGTGTTCAGGATTGTTTTTTAGACTACTGAACTTTGTCCTCACTTTTTTAAACATGCCTCTTTGGGTCTGCACCACAGCCACCGAGACACAAAATACCCCACTGCCAGGCCTAAGTGCTGTTTTTGAATTGGAAGTTAGTAAATATGATTTCATCAAAGCACCTCCAGCTGTGGACAGCCCATAATGGGGAATGCAGCTGTATCATTAAAAAGATACCTTTTTCTGGCATAGCTCAGAACCTTGCTTCCACAGGAAGAGGTTTGCCCACTGCTTTCTGCAGCTTGCCCAGCACCTGTATGATACCACAGTCCTTTCATCATACCAGAACAACTAACGTGGTATGATGCAACTTTTGTGTGCACATGGGACTGAAGGTAGGTTTCTTTACAGGAATTAGGGAAAACCATATATGCATGATCTGAGAAAGTAAAAAGAGGTTTGCTTTTTTAAACTCAAAAAGAAACAACAATTTTGCAGTAAACAGAATAAATTTTAGGAGAGCAAAGATAACATTTATTTTCCATGTTTTTCTATCAGTTCTGTCAGAACGGATCTCTTCTTAACAGCTTAAAAGTATCCCCAAAGCCTTGTTGAATTTTCCCTTTTTAAAATAATAGACTCCTCTTTTTCTTGAGGAGCTACCTGCAGGATGTGAGATGCAGCTTCTCCTTTAATGCAGTAACTTTTACTTCCTGAGCCACTAATCACATTCTCAGGACCACAGTTAGTGGCCAAGACCACGTTAAAACCAAAGAGGGTTCACCAGAGACTGCTTCCTCTTGAGTTTGCATTGCACTAAGCCTTTTTTAAACCACCACTTTTTACCTCCTTTGGAGCACAGAATTACACAGCTACAAAGAATTTATGCAGAAGGGAAAAGGCCAGAGGAAAGGAGTTAAATTTAGGCTTCCCACATGTGGTATGGGTAAGTAAGCCTCAAATCTTCAGCTCTGTTTTTAGGCTCCCAAGTCTGACAAGAGAGACATATTCATTTGGGGGATGCAGGATGCCCACAGCCGGGATCATTGTGATCCCTACAGTGCACACACTCCCTAGAAATGAGTTATGAAAGACAGATGAGCTGCACAGGGCATGAGGGCATGGAGGTATTTTCCAGAGCTAGAACTGCATATGGGGTATAAAATGTTGGGGCGGTAACACTTTTCAAAAACAGGGGCTGAAGAGATTTCAAATCCATTCTTGGGATGATGTCTGAGTTCCAAAGAAATCCTTTCCAAATAAATAAAAGGACGAAGAAAAGAGACAGATTTTACGACTATGAACTTTACTACCTTAGCACTAGGAAAAGAATTGCTTTTTGTCTGCAATTAAATTGCACAGGTGGAAGTGTCTGACTGTTAAAATAACCTACAACTACTAATTTCTACTACAATATTTGGTGACTTCACTCTGTGCTTTATGAATTCATTAACAGAGAGTGAGTTAAAATGCTTGAGGGAACAGTGAACTAGTGCACTTGATTTTATATTTTAATGTGTCAGTATGAAGTGTAATCCCTGAACTTCTGAATATTATATATACTATATCATTATGTGTAATTACAAATTCTAACATACAAACATATCAGGTAGTATATTGGAAAACAAACACTTCTGCAATTTATTAACAATTATAGTGAATTTAGGCCTTCACAAGACCTAACTGGCCACATTCTCTTGCCTCTGGTGAAGACTGGGTAGCCCAGATGGATTATTTAAAACCATCCCACAGAAAGTGTTTTGCAGTCTAATGAGAACATAGTCCTAAACATGCCTCTTTGCTGTAATTAATATGGGAAGCAGAAAAAACATAAATAACTTTTCAAGTGGTCATTGAAATAAACAATTATATTATAAGCATCAATTCAGAAATATCTTCTGCCTTTAAAGTTGCAAAAGTCTACATCAGTAGTGCAGAAAAATCTACCTTAATAGTGAGATGGCTTTTTAATTTTTTTGTTTAAACTTTATTTTATTTCTATCTCAATTACCAAGGATTTAATACAAGAGATTTAAAATGGAATCACTCAGCTGCCACTGACTTTTTCCAGGATATTTGTATGTAATCTTTTTCAGAAATTCTGGTCCACATTTATGACTTGTTTTGGCATTCACTGAAATTGCAACAACTCCTTTCAAAAGGAATATGTGTCTAAGCATGTGTACATGAAAACAGATTCCTTCCTTTTTCTCTCCTACTAATTTTTATGTCTGTGGGCACATGATGGATCACTATATTCCACGGGGTATACATGAATCAGCAAAATAATACTTTCATGCAAAACCAAGTGGATGGTAATAGGGATGAACAACAGCATTTGATTGAGGCGTGCCTGCATGTTTTCACTTCTCTTCACAGAAAAGCAAACACTTTGAAGTACTTTGCCAAAATATCTGCTTTGTTCAGTGGAGTGAGAAGGAAGGAAATACTACGCTGGTTTGGAGGGGATACCTGATCACTTCTTCTATTGGCAAATATAATGCAGGGTGCTCTATTCTAAAAAATAAACCATCTGCAACTAAAGGTGCTCTGCTAAATAATATCAGTGTGCAAATTTCTCAGTGTGTCATAGTTTTCCTAAAATCAAGAATCTCCTCTCTCAGTTCCAGCCCCCAAAATCCTGTATTATATCCTACAATTTTAAATCCACTTTATTTTATTACAGTGTATTGTGTTTAATGAAAAACTTCTCATGAGCCAGGAAGTAGCTGTTTATAGCTGTGTGTTGTGGAAATCACAGTGAAGGATTAGAAACTGGAGTAAAATTGGTTACAGCTGTATGAGAGAGCATAAGCACAAGATAGAGCCAAGCCCCCCCTTTATGCACCCTGACTTTGCTTTTCTGCTCATCCTTCTGGACTGTTCCTTTTCCATGCACCTATTTCCATCTCTGAATGTGAAATTTAGAGATTTGACTTCTGATTTGTTGCTCTGCACTCTCTTTTTTCAGCTGAACCAACTGAGCTGTGAGTCAGACTTTACGACATTATAGAATAAACCTGTTTTGGATTGCAGCCATTGGACAGGAGAAACTAGACACAACGGGGAATGTGCTCTCTGGAAATAAACCAAGCAGTCTGGAAAAATCGAGAGCTGTCCTAATTTGAGTGTAATCTTTGTACCAAACCTCAAGTGTTTTACGGATTTGGTGGCCTGCTTAATTATTCCCACTCTCACTTGAGCTAAGGACCATCTCCTGCTCTGGAAGATTTGCTGGTGTTCACAAAAACCAGGCAAGAGTTTCAAAAACCTGCACAGAGCTCTACTATGGTACTCCTCAGTCCCCATTGTCTTCTCTGCAATGAGACAATGAGACTTCTATGTCTGTGTTATGGGACAGGGTGGAAAGAGAGCCAAAAGTACAATGTCTCATGCAGAGAGCAGTTATCGGTCGCCAAGGGGAAAGCACCTAAATCATTCCTCAGACTTGCACTAATTTCAAAGAAACCTGCTCACTCATCTTCCAGCCAGAAGCCAAAAGCTCTGCCAAAGCATCAGGCAGGTTTGAGAAGCAAGTGTAAGAGAGGGAAAATGGCCAAGGGTAGTTTGGAAACATGCACGATGATTGACTGGAAAAGTAAACAAGTCATAACTCCAACAACTTAAAATTTTATCAAAATTTCATATAAGAATAAAAAATTAGGAATCAGCCAGAGTACTCCATTACAATGCTGGCATTTAACACAAAGCTAAATTTTGGAAATGGCAAATATGTTATCATTCCACATTAAATTCAAGGAATTAAATATTTTATGGATCTAAGAAAATGCTCTCATTCCTTCCATCTATGAACCATCTGTGTCAGATTTGTATTTACGGGGAGAGAGATGAGGAGTAGCACGCCACGATGTAACCAGCATTCCTTCCTCAGCAGAAAAAGAATCAGAGAGAGAAATTAAGTTCGACCTTGGCCAGATGAACAATCATCTGAATGTGTTTTTAAAGGTGCTACACCATACGTTTCAGATTTGCATGCATCTGTGTTACAAAAAAATCCAGCTAAGAGCAGTGATGGCAGGATCTACATGAGCTATCTCTTTATGTACCTGCTGCTTGCTAGGCACTTGGGGGCTTGATTATAGAAATTCCAATGTTTCCACTTTGTCAAGATGATCAAGAATGACTATTAGAAAATTTTGAATTAATAAACTGGACAAGTGATACAGAGAACCTTTACTGTGAGACATCCAGATTCCTCAGAGTAGGAGCAAACAACAATATCTACAATACAAAATAGATGTAACAGCTTTCTCTAGCTAAAGAGAAGTAATACATTCAAGGTGCTGACTGTTTTTATATCACTATAAGACATATAGGCATGCAGAGAAAACACACAAGCCATTAATTTATTTTAAGAGAGATAGACATTTTTTTACTATCATTTTAACTGGAAAAAAATATTGTTTCCCTGACACCAATTATGCTGCTTAGAAGAAAAAGAATTTATGTAGCCATGAAAAACAAATGTTCAGGCTAATAACTTTTATAACGCTACTTCAAGTTCCTCCTAAGTGTAACTATAAAAAGCTTTGTTTTGTTGTTGATTCTAATGTTAAACAGCCATGTCATGAGCCTTTGTGAGTTTATTTTATAACAATACTAAGGATGAGGGAATCCTAGCTATGGAGGTATTTCCTCTGCCAGCTTCTATCCTAAAATTGCCACATTGTATAAATTAAAGATTTTGAATAGGCCTGTTCACCAGTATAAAACAAAAACCCAACACCCCTGCAGAGTTCAGCTGTAAACGTGGTCCAGCTGATAATTCCATCCTTCAGAACAAAGCACATGTGTAGACTCTTTGCAGCGGATCCAGTCTGATATTCTAAGCTTTCCACATAATGATTAGGAAAATATTACCAAGTGAAGAACTGTCAAATACAGATATGAATCACCACGCTGTGACCTTTTTATGAATGCAACACAAAATATTTCAGACTCCAGTATCTAGTTTGGCACTCAGCTATGGACAATCTAATGTAAAATTTGTTGGTATTCGCCACCTGGAGTGATATCCCACAACTGGCAGACCTGAGACAGGAGGGCAACCTGGTACATACACCACCCTAGGCTCATCTCTAGCGTCAGGGCATGGAATATCTTCTGTCAGAGGCCAAGTTAGAAACACATCCAGTAATTTCCACTGGTTTGATATAAACAACATAAATCACCTAGATCTAATTCAGAGTGAATACCAATACAATAGCAGAAAAATAGCAAACTGAATACAAGCTGTACCTTTGTGACAGGCAGTTCTTTGGATTTAGACTCAAAGAGATGCTCCAGTTTGGAAGTGTCTACCTTAATGGGTTCCAGTTTCGACCACAGGAATTCTCTGCAGCGTTTGTTGTTTTTACACTGCCACTCAAATGGCCGTACCTCATTCCAAAACAGACGGATGGTTTTCTTCTTCTTTATAAATGCTGGCTGACCCCTAGAAACCTGGGGTGACCCTAAACCCTGAGGAGTGCTGAACAGTGGAGGAGGAGCCAATAAATTAGCAGAGGGCGGTGGTGGAGGCGGACATCCAAACAAGGGGGGAGGTGGTGGAGGAGGCAAACCCAGAAAAGAAGGTGGAGGTGGAGGAGGGGGAGCAAGGGAGTCCCCAGGACCCATATCCATGTCCAACACATCTACATCATCCTCCTCCCCCAAGTCTGTAAAATCCATGTCCTTAATTTTAAGTTCTCGAGGATTAGCCATGAGCTGATCCCAGATGTAATCAGATTCCTTCTTCGTCTGTGCTGGTGTTTTCTCAGGGACCTGTTCACTGATTTCATCTTCAGCCACTGCTGTCCCTTTAGCCAGCTCACCACTGTTAAATTTTTCTGCAAAGGCTTTCACACTGCCTTGGTTGTCCAGATTTCCGATCTCCATCTTTTTGACACTTTCATCTTTGGCCTGCTTTGTGGCCTGAAGAATAGAGATCCTGCTGGCTAGGCTAGTGAGTGACTCCTCGCTTTCCTCCGTCTCCTTCTTTTCCTCCTTCGCCTCCAGCTCCTTCTCCTCTTCATCTTTGGGCTTTTTGTTATGCGCATACAACATGTCCAGCATAAACCGCTTGTTGTTGAGGATGTTGCTGCACTGCTCATTCACACCAGCATCCTGAATGGTCTGTGACCATGGACCTGCAATCACACACACAGAGATGGGAAGAGTCAAGGGAAGGAAGTCAGAGCACCAAGAACACTCTTCAACCAACAAAAAAAAACCATGCGAGGGATGCATGTACAACTACTCTTAAACTAGGTAAACAGTTACTGTGAAAACAGTTACTTTGAAATGCAGTGCTGATATGGCCTGATCTTGATGGGTTAGGAGTAATTCTCAAAAAAGGAAGGGAACTAGAGAATAACATGTAGTTTGGTAGGGATATAACTTTCAGGATTTGAATGCTCAGGTTTCTCCTGAAACCTGAAATCTGTCACCTGAAACCTGAAATCAGGTTTCATTTTGTACATACTACCTCAGCTCATTTTATACAGTGCATAAATTCTCATAACCTTTGGTATTTCAAAATGGGGCTTAAATATCATGACAATGACACAAAACAGGTTATCATCATACTCTTCACCTGGCCATGTACTAGAACAACCTCAGGAAAATATTATCATATGAAAGAGATCTTCCTTGCCTGATGTCAAGGCTGACCTGTAGCTGTTTACTTCTCCTCCTCCCACCCCGCTGGCTAGGGAAGGGCAGCTTTCAGGCCCTCAGAACCCCCTGGCTGGGTACCTGGGCCACCTCCACAACACAGATTATTGGAATTCCAAAGTAGGCTGCACATCCAGCGTACAGCTCTCAGGGCAATTCTCAGGGCAAAGAGTGTAAGCATAAGCAAGGTTTTAAAAGTTGTTTATGATATGAGAACCTTTATAAAATAATTCTGAACATGCTGCTCATCAACCACTGTTAACCTCCCTGTTATATGTCAGTGTTGAATGACTATTGGCCTTCCCACATTACAATCATTTAACATTTCACTGTAATGAAGCTTAATCTTTCTGACTACTGCTTTTCTCACAAATAATAAGCAAAATACCATGTCTGAGACAGCACCATAAATAAGAAATTATAGTGGTCAAACTTGAAAAATATATGATGTAAGCGTCTCTGTGACTCCATTTCTCTGAATTTAATACTACTAACCAATGTGGATAATGTGTCTAACAATTATGGTGCTCCTTTTTCCAGTGGGCATCAGATGAAATGATTAAACATGCAACAATGATAATTCTTCACACTTACTATATTTCCTGTATGGAATTCCTTCTGTTCCCCATAGTCCTTACACATTTTTCATAAACTCTGCTTCTTTTATTTAATCATTGATTGCTAGCCTGCCTTTTTGGGGGGTCCTTCTGGTTAAAGATTTTCTTTTATACCTGTAGGTTGCCATTTTTCTTAAACTCCCATTTTATCTTGGTGTCTTCACTTATGCTACCACCTTTTTCAATACTTTGGAGTTTTAAGTATCTTTTACAGCTTTCTCTGTTAATGGAGTTGCTTTCTTAGCATATCATCTAGTCCTGTGCTCTGAGAAGGTGTCCTCTTGGTGAGATCTACATCCAGGGCCCCACAACTCCCTGCCTCTCCCCTCCCTTAAAACAACACTTGCAGCACAAAGTGTATAGACAGCAGTGACTCCTGTCTCTATTTAGATCAAGCTCTAAACCATGTTTTAAAATCAGTCCAGAGGTTTAACCCCAGATAAAAGAAAGCCTTTTTTTTTCAGAAACAGATACAACCTACTTTCTTGCTGGTGGACTGACTGCTTCCATTATCTGATCATTTTTCCTCAGACTTGATCCATGGGATTGCCTTCTTACCAATACTTGTTCACCTGAGGTAGTCTCTTTGATTTCTCTATGAGGTAGCTTCATTAGACAACACCACAACTTAGATTCTTCCCCACACCATAGATTCTACCCAGCTGTGCCCTTGCATAGGATTTCCCCCTACTCTAAGCCTTTCCTTCAAAGATGTTCAAGATGGCTCCCAAGATCCATCCCACAAACCCCACATGATCTACCCCCTCTCAGTTTCACCAGATGGGAACCTCCAGTGTTTAATCCTTTGCAAAAGTACTCATCAGAATCTGCCCAGACACAATCTCTAATTTGCATTCCCCAATTCCACCCTCAACTGTCCAAGATGATCAAAGATCATATCTGTGAAGACTCTTGCTATCTTGGTGGTCTCTTCTGCTCCCCTCTCCACAGGTAAAGCTTTGAAATACCATTGGAGAAACAAGACCTCTTGGAAGCCAAATTTGGCAGGATGGCTAATGAAGAAGCTTGCACCAAGGGCAAGCCTTTGTCCTCAATGCACCTGGGCAGAGCCAACGAGCCATCTCATAAATGGCAAAATGCTTCTTGGGAATGTCAAAACTGCTAGAGGAAGTGCTTGTTTGCTTTCCAGAACTCCACATCTACTAGACAGCAAACAACTCACCACATGAGTCCTATTCATCACTACCAAATAAATCTTTGGTCTACTGGTAGTGTAGGAGAATTTTAAGATGTTGATTTTAGCAATAATACATTTCTTAGCTTTTAACAAAAGTATATATGGACTTTAAATTAGAGTGGTAACAGGTCGGTAACAGACAAGGCAATGAGACAAGACTTGCAATTGCTCTTTTTTTGCACTTGGACTATACCACAGTGTAACAACATCCTTCATCTTCCCAGCCTTTCCTGCAGATATATCCATCTACATTCTTTATGAGTACAATAGCATTCTAAGTAACTCAATCGTGGTACTGACTGAAAAGAAATTAGCTCTAAAATTTAGGATGTAATTCGTGTAATGCTTCCCAGAAAAAAAAGTGACAGATTTAAGCTTGAACAATTCAATCTGACAGTTTATGTCTATGAGGTAATTGTTGGGATTTAGAGCTATCCCTCTTCATTCGGGACAGAGCAGGACTATTTCACACTGTGAAGCACACCTCATTTTCTTATTTAGAATTTAGAAAATATAGGACAATTCATTCCATGGTTCAGACTAAAGAAGACTTGGGAATCAAATGCCCTAATTACATTACATTTCTTTACCTCCCTATAAAAAAGGGGAAAGAGTAATCAACAAAGTCAAAATCTGTCTTTTATTCCCTCCCCGCCTAGACTGAAAGACAAACTCTGGTTATTATTATCTATCTGGGCAGAAACTTGGTACTTGAAGTGTTTCCCAGGGTGAGCCTTTCCAGGCTGGTACCTCGTGGCCTATTTGACTAGATAGAATCCCTCAGCACCATGAAACTGGTCTTTTCCAGACAAGGTGTATTTCATGTGCCTCCTCCACATGAACTAAAGAAGGCCACGGCCCAGACCTATCTTCAGCAGCTCCTATGTATCTCTCTCTGCTGTCTGAAGCCTGTCCAAGACAGAAGTACTGATGGGAAGGAACAAACATCTCAGCCCTCACTGCTCTTCCTTTTCCACCAAAATGATGAGAAAAGGCATCTGAAAATTCGTGACGAATTGTGTCAGCACAGCCCTTTGTCTCACTGACTTATGTACAGAAAATCCAAATAAATTCTCCAGGAGCTAGAGATCCAAGTCTATGCACATGCTGATTCAGTAGTTAATATATTAATCTTAGGGGAAGAAAAATATCTCAAATCAAATGAAACTTTATTTCATCAAGGCCCTACTGTCCCCCAAACATAGTAACCCCAATAAAGTATGGATGTCCAAGCAGAGAGTAGACAAGACTTGGCCATAGTGAAGAAAGGCTTAGATAGGTGCAAAGGGTTTGTTAGCTAATTAACATAATATCAGAACTGCTAATTGAACACTTTTTTTTCCACCAGAAAACCTTCATTATTGAAAAAGCTTCACTTTACCAGTTTCATTGTCACTGGTTAACTTGTCCTCTCTCTCTTCCCTCTCTAAAGTGCTGCTTGCTGAGGATATACTGGATGCAGAACAGTTGTCTTTTTCATTCACTTCCTCATTCTGCCTCTCCTTTTCACTGAGTATTGCACTTTCTTCTGGCTCTCTCTCTGGTCCTTGCTCCACCTCACTCTCTGGTCCCACCTCTGCAGCCTCTATTTCCTTGGGTGTCTCCGTTCCCTGCTTGGCCTCAGCCTCAGCCTCCTGCTCTGGTTCTGGTTCTGTCTCTGTCTCTGGTTCGGGTTCACTGGCACTCACTGGTGGAGAGAACAATGGGAGAAAGAGATTCACTTATCAACAGAGCCGTCTCAGGTTCACCCCTCAAAACGAGAGCGAAGTGAGAGTTGTACAAGTGCCTTATGGAAAGAAAATAAAATAAAGCAAGTCCACGGTGTGCTCAGGAACATTAGGAGCAGCAGACTGATGGATGTTGTGAGACGACAGCATTGCACGTGAGAGTGGCCTGGCAGGCCCCCTCACTCACTGTCTGGAGCCAGCCCACTGTTTTTATACATACTTCCACAGCTGCAGTGTTGGACCCACACAAGGATTTGAACGAACCAGCAGAAATTGGGCATCTCACCTGAGCATTGACAACTCAGTGCCTAGACAGAGCCAGGAAAGAAGAGATTAAAAAAAAAAAATCAAACAAAAAGGAGGGTGATTGTGGCTTTTGGTTGAATTTTCTTTGGGTTCTGGAAGAGTTCTTTTTTCACCTGATGAGGAACACTTCAACAAAAAAAATACAAATATTAGTTTTAATAACACACTTGAATGGCACAGTCTCGAAATGGCACTGTCACACATTTGGCTGACAAAAACCATATGTTGTTTCATGCACATTTACTTCAGAATAGCCACATCAAAATTCAGCAAAGTTTCCAACTGCCTGTCATATGGCACATATTTAGTTTCCAGTTGGCTGGCATATGGCACACAATGAGCTTTTTTATCAGTTGGCACACAGCAAACATTGTTGATAGTACACTTGGTTTCTTCTTCCCTGCTTTCCCAATAAAAATAATTCATTCACCTTTAGGGTTTTTAGTAGTAACAGCAGATTTTCACATGCAAATATTCCCTGCATGCTGCAAAGAAACTGAAGAGCACCCACACATAATCGCATCAAGAAGCTCACAGTTCTGTAAAACCTGAAACGGCCATGCAAAGTGTGGCAAAAATGGACATGCATGTTAGCTCTGCATACCTCCCAAATTCCCTCTGTACTAAATCTTCTGGGTGGCTGAACTATAAAGACCAAATCTTACTTGTTTTGTCCCTCAGTTAACTATTTTCCATTACAAAATTGCAAAAGAGTCTTCTGGATTTCTCATTATCTTTGGATTACACAAAACACAACAAGAATTTCTTCAGGTATGACATCAACCTTTGAAGGAAAAAAAAATCACACTGAAATACTGGAATGCAATCCAAATATTTCAGTCCTCTAGTGAGCAGCTAAGTAGATTTATACTAAGTAAATATAAGCCAAAATAATGAAGATCACATTCTACTCCATTGAGAGCACCTTAATGTCTAAAATTAGATATGCAAGCACCTCTGCCCATGCCTTGTTTCTCCAAATGTACCTTACCGATGACTGGATCCTGGACACTGCCTAGGAGAGAGTCAAAACTATAGAGGGCTGCCAAGAAGTTGGCAGACGCTGCAAATCCCAGCGATGTGTTTCTCACCACAGCTGTCAGTGTGTAGGTATAGAATAAGAACATTTTAAAGTCAAGCCAAGATTTGAATACAACTGAGATGAAAGCTTAGGAAATCTTCAGGAGTTCCTGGAACTAATGTGGTACTTTAGCAAGAAAGATTCTTGGCTTGCCATGGTTCAATAGTCCACATATACAAATGTCACAAATTAATCCATGAATAAAAAAACCTAAAAAACAAACCAACTGTCATGCAATAACCAAAAAAGTAAACTCTAACAGCTCAGATGGAGAGAGAAGCTGATTAAAACATGGCCAGGATTCCTGCGCTTACTGCAACTTTCTCATCATGAAGCCACACTGAAGATGCAACAGAAGAAAGTCAGGGGAGATGTAAGAAATGCTTGAGAAAATTTGAATGCTCAAAAGAATTCCAGATACTCTCCTTACAAGAAATATTCCACACATACCAGAAATACGCAGCAACTTAGCAAAATCTAATGCATAACAAAGAGTAAAGAGCACTATACTGACATAGTCTGCTCTTTTGAGTTCCAGGAATAACAAAATCCAAGTACTGGAAAAAAACAAGGATATGCTGACACTCATTTTGATAGCCTCTCTCTCTATATATAGGGATAATATCAAACAATCCACCTGTAGCTAAAATCACTTGAAAATAGTGAGCTAAGTCCAGCAGCACTTCCCTTAAGAAACAGTACAAAAATCAAATCTGCCAGGAAACACTCTCAAGAGAACAAAGCCAGTAAGCTAGACATGCATCCATCACTTGCATTTCCATCATGTAATCCACTGCATTGACATTAGTGAGAACTTCTGAAGATGTTAAAAAATAAAATTCTCAGTGAATGCTTGGTAGTGGCCTCTTTGAAATGAGCTCAAACTTTCAGTCCCACACCTACTGGATCCATTTTCATATCAGACAAAACACTGCTCTAAGTGGCAACCTCACAGGTGGCAAGAGAAATAAATAACAGACCAGGCTCTGTTCCTTGTCTTCAGACTTCTTGCTGGTGGAGACTGTAGAGACTCAGGAAAGCAAGCCTGGTCAAATCAAAAACCATCAACAGCAACGAAGGTGTGCCTGAGATGTTAAGGAGCATGATACCTTTATAAGCTGATCCCTTCTGAAAAGCAAGCCTATGAACTTATAATGCAGTAGAGGAATATGGACATTTTCTTTAATACTCAACTATAAATCAACTTTGAAGCAGACACAAGATGCTATATCCTGCTGATAAGAACTCAACCCTCCAGTCCTATAAGCCCTCAGAGAGAAGACGTATCCCTCTGGGCTCACATCTAATCCCCTGTCACCTAATTGATTAGCCAACCACATCCCCATCTATTTTCTCTGCCTTCCACTTGGAGGTGTGAGATAGATATGCTGAGTGTCTCTTGTGGATGCATACAGTAAGTCTGAAAATGTCTATGCCTGCCCAAGACCTCTTGGTTCAATTGTTCAGGCACTGCCTAAAGTCTTGAATCTTATCTCCCTTCAGCTACTCCAGCACAGGATTCCTCTTCCTCTGAATTCTGCAGGGACTCCTTATCTCTCCCCACTCCCACTCCAATCTTTTCCTCCCATACCTTGTGTTGGTAAGAACAGGTGCAGACTAAAGTGGCTCTTTCTTCGTGCAGTCAGAAATGATTTTTTTTTTTGTCCTCCCACCCCAGTTCCTCCTCAGACTTTCTGTATCATGGTTCCTTTGGCTCTGCAACAGGAGCTGCATTGGCCTCATTGCATGCTCATGCCCTGGTGCTTCCCCAGCTGCTGAGATGCTCTTATCAGCCATGTTTTGGGCAGCACTTAAACCCTACTCAACTACCACTATGTTCAGAAGGTCTCCTACTGTCCACAGTGTGCACTTGGGTTGGCCTGTTTACTTTCTCAAGTGCTAAAAAAGCTGCTTCTTTCAGAGAAGGGCTCACCTGAAATTCCTTTGTAGATTGACTTCAGAGATGTCTCAGTTATTGTTGTTCCTCCTTTACTGCATACTTGCACTTCACAAAATATTCTCCAATGAAATTACAAAAGAGTAAGTAGCTGATCTGAAAAAAACCTAAGTTCCTTTTTGCAGTTACAGGACTGCCTTCATTTCCTCTGAATGCCATAACACAAGTTTTACAAGAATAAGTCCTACAAGACTTGATTACTTCAGTGGAACCAATTGTTTTATATGAGAAAACACTGCAGCTGAGTAAGCCTAGATTTTTATATTGGGTAATGGTACTGACATATTTCACAGTGTGAGACAAAGTTCCACAGACAGAATCTGTTTCCTTCTTAATACTAGTAGATACTGGATGGCCAAAGGATATTTCAGCACAAAAGGAATAAAAGAAATCTGACTTCAAAAATCCCTTATTGTTTTGCTAGTAGATGAACACTATTTGCCTTTGACCTCAGGTCCTGAATTCTGCAGATGAATATCACACATCTGTTAACACCATTCTTGCAGAGTCGTTAGAGCATTGTATGCACAGAACCAAGGAACTGTTTTCCTTCTGCAGTTTCATTCCTGCTTGGGAAGATGGTGAACCCCATATTAAAAGCAACTGCTTGGGGTGCAAGTAATTTGAGTTCTGTCCATGGCTCTGTTTCAGCTTTTCTTACAACTGACTTGAGCAAGTTAATGCTTCATTTTCTCTACCTATTAAGTGGGACTCATAACCCTTCCTAAAACCAGTAAAATTGAGATTTTAATTCAGTATGGAGGATAAGGAAGTCAAATAATAGTATAGAGACCATGTCACAGTGTCTACATTAAGCCTGTTCCCCCCTGGCAGATATCCAATAATATGGGCACTTCCAGATGGTGTGTCCTGCCCACATGCTCATGACTTCCTATGACCTTTCCAGTACTTTTGATAGGTCTGAAAAAATATTCCCCATGCCCAGATCCCACAGATTTCAGGCCTCTGTTGAGGTTCTGTCCTGGCCATCTGCCTGCAGCTGCCCTTGGCTGGAAGGCTACCCTGCCCCATCCATATAGCCTCTCCTTGTGGTCCATTTGCCAGGCTTCCAGGTGCTGCCCTCCAATGCCTATTATACTGCCAGGAGTTTTAGTAGAGATGTCCTGTCTACCCGCAGGTTGATAGCTTTGCCACATTCTGGCTGTCTGAAGCTGCCCTGTACACCTGCTCTAAATGTATTCTCCAAATGGTTTGTGCTGCTCCATTTCATGCTGCAATTTTTTTTTAATGCTTGCAGGAGAAATATGTTAAAATAATCATCACAAGAGATACTTGCTCCCTACCCAGCTCTGAAATCCTAATGGTGGAAAAATCCAGCTTATTTGCTCTAAAAGCAATATAGCACTAAACAAAATGGGTGTTTGGATATTTCTGACTACCAGTATTGAAGGAAAATATCTGTGGTTTCTAAGTTCAAACAATTCCACTGAGACTCTTAAGGTTCCAAACAAGAAAACTGGGGAATATAATTGGGAAAATATATAAAACAAAATAAAATAAACTTCACCTACTTAGTACAGTGAGGACAAACATATGCAGCATTCAGTATTTGTAACGTTTTTCTTAAATTGCCTTGCTTTATAGCATGCTACCAGCCATAACACTCCATAAAACCAAGCAGTGCAAGTTACAAATGCATTAATCACCAATAGCATGTAGCAGGAAATCAAATAAAATAAAAATGAGTGATGGCGATAATTTGCCCTCAACATGCATTCTAGCTCCCAACGTTAATACAACATCATGTGGTGCAAATATAAATCTGTATGGCATGTGTTGTTTTGAGGACTGAAGGAGAGGTACATGATGCAAGTGGCAGAATGACATACAAACATACACAGAAAGCATTGCTCTGTACACCAATAAATTATATGACAGGAAACCAACCGTGCAAACACTAGTTATACTTTCCTTTTTACTAATTGTCTGTGGTCTCTTTTAAGTCCTTTATGACTTGTGCTACAATTTTAAGAGTTTTTTCTTGGTATTAAAAATAATCAACACACTCCCCCTGCCTTCAATTCAAGAACTTTTCAGTTGGTCACATTCAGCCTGTGCTCTACTGGAAGGTTATTATAATCTTGGCATTCATCTGTTGCATTTCTTTCAGAGAATCCACATAGGCAAAATCTGTTGGCAGGAATACTGTTTGTCTAGTATTCAGTAACTCCTCGTATATAAAGAGCATGACACTAAAATTAAGACCCTGTGTATTCTCTATTTTCTAATTATCCCATTTGAAGAGCAACAGACAATGACAGTATGAATCATAGCTACAATTTGCCATGTATCTTATTATTGAACAGATTACATGATATCCAAATCAATGCAAAAAACTAGGCAATTTAGGAAGACAGGATGAAACAATGTAGACCCTTTACTGTGGCACCATATAGATTGTATTCTTGCACTCATGCATCAAAAATCACCATCCCAGGAGAAACTGATAAACCCAGCATTGTTTCCCCTACCCTCCTTTTCACTTACCTTCTGAGGGCTGAGGAGTTCCACATGGGATGGAAGGGGTCTTCAGCTCTTCCTGGGACTCTATGGATGCTGGGCTGACGCACTTGGGTACAGGTGAGGATGGAGCTGAAGGAGATCTCAGGTTCAAGGACAGCTCACTTCTGCCTCGGCTGACACTCCGACTCTTCAGCTCCTTCTCATACTCCTCTGCTGCCAACTTCTCCAAGTATTTGTATCTGAAAGTTAAATTCCAGAAGGTTTCCGTAAAGAAAAAGAAGCCTGTGGCTGATGCTTGTTTATGGATGAAACACCTGCAGAGAATGAGCTGACTTCCTGACACAAGGAGCGTAGCACTGAACTGCCTGCTTGCTCAATCTGCCAAAAAGTGCACACTAAAGCAAAGACTACTGCCCTGAAAAATGTTAAATTGCTCATTACAATACAAAAGTAAAACCCAGCAGAGTTAAAGAACCTTTAGCTATTGTATTTTGTCTGCACAGTCCTCCTTTTTGGAAGCATTTGTCTGTCCTCCTTTTCACCCTCCTCCTTCACCTCCTCCTCCTCTTCCTCCTCCTCCTCTCAGCCCTCCCTCTCCCAAAACTCACCTGGGAGAGGAAAAAAAAAAAAAAGAAAAAAAAGAAAAAAAAAAAACCCTCCAAACCCAGAGCCCCTTAATACTGGTGCAAATTGCCAAAATCTCAGACTTGCTGTAAAGAGACGAAAATGCAGCAGACAAAACCAGATCTTCCTGAAAAGAACACCAATAATAAACGTCTGAATTGACTATCTAAAGATTCTGAACCTGCTTCTATTTGCTCTGAGAGCAATGCAGTGGAATTCACTTTGTTCTCTCCAGAGCCTACAATGGAAAGTTTTTTTTTTTTATTCTGAAAAATTTCTCTGCCGGACTCAGACATCCAATAGCTTGTACCTGACGTCACATGTAGTTTATTCATCAAAGTCACTTTAAAAGAACAAAGATACATCTGTTTTGCATTTTAGGCAGGCAGAACTCACTAACTGTTTATTAAGACCAGCTACCAATCATATTCTTCATAGTATGCTTTATACATTTCGACCAAAATAACTTTTAAATATGTGCCTGTTCCAGATGTCTGCTAATTTTATCCACCATTATTTGCTGAGGAATAAATTCATGAATACAGCTGGATTGGGCTTTAGACTGTTTGCCTTATCCACAAGTGAGCTGTTAAACAGGTTAATCAGGACTACTTCTTATGTCCCTGAAACACTCTGGTCATTCCCTATAACAGACTGTTGTAAACACTTCATAACATTGAACACCTCTCCTCCCCCCTTCTGCATCACTGACAGCCCAAATTAGTGTAAGAGGGTGCACTAAAAGCAGGCAGGGTAAAGAAGTCAGCCATATGTGGCAAAAAACATGCTTAGTACATATGGTAGCCACACATGCATGCACATTTGCAAACATTCATATAGAGGACAGAAATGTGTCTTTGAAGAGCAGTCCTTGTGTTTTCAGAGGCAATTTGCCTTACTGCAAACAGCAATAATGAAGAACAAACTCATTTTCTTTTATTCCTCCAGAGGTATGCACAGGCTTTGAACAAATTCTGCAAGAAAAAGAACCCCTACAGACTCGGGATGAAAATATAACAAGCTACATACTTGCATGGTTATAAAATAGGAACTGTTTACAGTTCTAACATGAAGCCAATTCTCAAGACTGAATCTTGCCTTTTCAATAGAGGGGAAAGCATTTCTCTGGCATCAGCATAATGTTTTGTTACAGTTCATGAAGCCACTCTTTCTTTGAATGTTGGTCACTTATGTACAGTGCCTTCCACCTTCTCACAAGCAGAGCAGATGGGACTCCAGACTCATAAAGAGCCATTCAGATTGATCACTTGGCACTAACAGGTACAGCCCAGCTGCCTGCTGCCAAGGGGGTTTTTCAGTTTGCCAACAGACTACAACAAAGATCTGGATGGATCCTTATATGATGTGGGGAGTTACAATGTTTTATTGTCCTCAGCTCTTTTTCAGGTGCTTTAACATTTTCTGTAGCTGTGTGCTGCACTGCCAACCAGCAAAGCAGAGACTATCATCAAGAGGCGACTTTTCGAAATGTATCTGATTATTATACTGAAACAAAAAAGGGCACCAGAACAGCAATTCCAATGGCAGCACATCAGCAGAAATAGTTACCAAATGGGAAGCTTAGTAAATAGGTATAACTGAGAATTAAAAAATAATTAAAGAATCAGTTATTAACACTTCACACTTGATAAATGACATTATTTAGGTTATTTTTTGTTACTGACAAATATCTTCATATTGAATAAATGCCAGCAGCAGATATGCAAGGTCATGTAGACCAAAATCTGAAGGGGTTGAAAGGATGAGCTACCATACCTCCATTACAGGATTGACAAATTGCCCCTGTATATGCTGCTATACTCTTTTAAATCATGGAAACCTGCAGACATCATCTCAGCTATGCTGACTCTTCTCTATAGACAACCAGCCAAAAGTCTGCGGCTATCAATTTGGTATTCCTCATGAACATAACACTGGATTTATCATTTCAAGTAGAAGAAATTGTCATTTTGAGCTCTCTAGGCATCTGAGTAATGCCCTGAGGGCAACTTAAAATGTTAAGGTACCAAAAAAATCATGGGAGTGCAGAGCACACCTCACACCAGAGAGGGCTTGGGAGCTCACCTTTCTCGGTTTTATTCTAAAATTACCACTGGAAAACATCCAACCAAGCAAAGGGAAAAGGCCTCAAATCATTGAACAGCAAGAATTGATATGGAGGAAACATACAAATCAGTTTTTAACTAGTATTTTAAGCACCTTGACTATAGGATTTTCTTACAGTCTATGCACTCTACTAAAAGAAGTTATCATACAACTTCCCATAGGAAATAAAACTTCATTTGTGCAAAAGTGTCTGTAAAAAGTAGTTACAGAATGTCAATGTAATGGACTACTGGTGCAAGACTTCATTTGCGGAAGTTTTCTCCAATATTTATCTGCTGTCAAAGCAGACACGTCTTTCCGCTTTATGAGTAGGAACTGATAATTTGTTATCTCAGTTCAAAAGAGACCTAAGGATAAGAAAACGTTATTAATGAATGGTGAAATAGTCTCAGATTGTGCAGCAGTGATGGTGAACACTTCCCCAAAAATACTCCAGTTGGCATTTCCCCTTACAACTTGAAAGTTCTGAAGAACTCACTTCTAATTTGTTTCAAAACCTGAAGATGAGCATGCCCACTGAAGAAAGGTTTTACTCAGCTCAAATCAGCCTATGATGCTTATGTGCTCAGATGCACTTCATTTCAGAAAATGCTTTAAACTATTTCTAATTGTTTTGGGACTGCAAGCACAATGGAAAGCCCATCCACCTTTTCTTAGAGATGTTAAAATAATTTTTTTAACATCAGCTACTTCAGCCTCAACAGATAAAGCTTCATTCTGCAGAAAAAAACTGTCCCCTGTATGATGATTTTGTGAAAAAAAAAACAAACCCAAAACCACAAAGATTTCTGAGATGGCTGCTCTCATATTTTGATAATCTAACTCCAATTCTTGACAATCCAAAAGTATCTCCAGTGAGTAATCTCTAGAGGACCATAAAAGCAGAACTGAAGCACTCTGGATGATTTTTCATCTATTTGTACAGTAACTTGCATATTTTCCAGGTAAAAACAAGCACTCTCTCCAGGATGCAATTACTAGCAGGAGCAGAGATGAAGCTACTGAGAGACAAAAGTCCTCAGTTGAGCATTCCTTGAAAAATATGCTTTTATAAGCACATACCTCCCAGCCTAGCCCAGAGTTTCTAAACTTGTTCATTGAATTAAAAAAAAAGAGGAAAAATAAAACCCAAACTCTCCATCCCTTCAAATATGCTATTTAAATAAAACTAAAACAATGCCCCAATGATAAACACTGCTAAGCTTTGTAATTTACTTGCTGATGTTTAAAGAGATCGGCAAAGAAAACTTGGCTCTGAAAGATAAAAATATGCTGAGATTGGGTCAGAACCATTTTCATCAGCCAGTTACTGTGGTTTTGCAATGCTTGTGACCCCAATTTCCTTTATCCTCACTTGCCTTTTCTGACCCTCCAGAAAGCTTGGGACCCACTGGGTGAAAAAGGCTTATTCAATTTATAACTCTCCTAAATTTGGGCAAATTTCTGAGGCAAATGGGGTAAGCTTATTTCCCACACAAATACATAAAAGATATCAATCATTCTTAAGCATTCTCATTGCTCTTCATTTATTGCCGTGCTTACAGCTGGACTTCATTCTGCTCTTCAGCAACTTCTTTCTTATAGAAGTCTTTTGGAATAAAAGTGTTTTATGCAAGCAGAGTTAAAAATGTAAACATGTGACAGCTCCACAGTAAAGAATATAGGAAGTGCAAACAGGCAGAGGGAAGGATAGGGAAGGATGGATGCATGACATACAAACCTCTCTTCTCTTGCTTGTCTTAGTTCTTCTCTTTTGTCTAAATAATCACGGCTAGAAAGAGAATTACAGTAAATTGCAGCAGAAACCAGAAGAAAAAGGTAAGTAATAGAAATATAAGTACAGCAGGAGAAACCGAGAGTGGTACACACAAACTGGAGACAATGAAGGCTGTTTTCAAAAAAAAATGTTTGTTTTTGCAAAAATTGCTGAAAAGTGTACACTTATCCATATATATACCACCAAATATGTAGTTTGGAAGGTCATTAAAAGGAATTCTAAAAATACCTGCAAAAAAGTGAAGAACTTGAAGCATGCTTTGCAACCTGGTATCTGAAATGAGATTCAATGAACTGCACTTATCCATAGGGAGCAGGCACATGAGTGGCTATTTAACCATCCCTGATTTGCTCCATCTCAGAATGCCCCAAGACAGTGACTGCAGCCCCTGGCAGGACAGACTGAGACAGTGAGCAAACCTATTAGCTTTCTTTCTAAGGAACCTCTCCTTAGTGAGTTTTAGTTGCCACAGCTGGAAACAGAACAGGGGACTGGCTTTACTAAAGTAGAGGGGACTGTACTTTACTACAATTCTGCATTCCAAGAGGGTGTGTGCAGCATCATTGGACAGATAACCTTTCACTTCCTTATTTTTCACCCGGAGTTTGAGATACAAACTCCTTTTATGTCAGCTGCCACTCCCACAGCTCCTCAAGTAAGCCATATATTTAACTTTTGCCAAGTCAAGTTTGCTGGATGCTTGAGTACTATGATTTTGGACAGGCCTGCCACATCCACAAACATGGATGCAAATTTAACTTGGAGCACGGCAGAACCCAGAAAATGTCTACCCTGTCTCACTATCACAGCGAGATGGTTCCTTACAATATATTTTTAATATTTGGTAGACAGAACTGATGTGATCTTCACCTTATCTGCTAGATTCTTTCACAGTGCAACCTGTGAGTACCAGAAAGATTTTCAGAACTACTCCTTTTATTAATAACCCCTTTTTTTTTCCTCTTTATATTGTGTCATTAAAAGAATTACTTATCAGTAGTATACTAGTAGCTATCAAACATCTGCGTGCAAGTGGTCTTCAAAAGTCCTCTAACAGGGAACACACATTACTGTTTCAGGCCATCTCCACAGGCTTTGAATTCTGAACTGGTTATACTTTCACAATATTGTAAAAGTATTCCAGGAAATTTTGAGCACGTAAATTTTAACATTACTCTTTCCCCTCTGACAACTTTCACTCTTCTCTACAGCTGAAAAATAACCACTTTATTTTAGGACATATTGTTCTACATATGCAATGGGTACAGTAATGCTTCTACGGAGAAAAATGTTCATTCTGCAAAGCATTTCTTTAGTTAGCAATAGCTTATGAAGCTTTGTAGCTCCTCTCCTAATCCTCCAGCTTTCCTATCCTCCAGCTCTTTCACAACTAGTGATGCTCTCCTTTAAATTATCCTCAGTTTGTCAACAATGGTGCCAGAACCTAGTGCAATGTTCTTGAGGCAGAGTTGGAAAGAATGAGATAACAAATGAGTCATGATGGCAAATCCAGTACAGCTCACGAGTTTAAAGACTGAATTGCAAGTGCTATTTTTAATCAAAAATACATCTTCAGAGACTGGGTTTCTAGCCAGACTGATGATATGATAATGAAATCCCAGGAACTCTTATGAAACTGTCTATGACTGCTTGCTGTGACTTTGTCTTCCTCCTGCCAGACTGTTTAATCAACTGTGGGATGCTGTCTGTTTGTGAAGTCTGGTGGCTTTGGAGACCCCTCTGCTCAAACAAAAGTTATAACTTTTGAGTGATCACAAAACTCAAATCCAAAAGATGAAAACACTGGGCATTGAAAAATAATCTTAAATATGTAGTACAATCATGAGATTTAGTTAATCAGTTTCTGATTCTCAAATAAAGGGATGAAAATGTATGTGTTGAAATTTTTTTCTGATTTTAAGAATCCTCTTTTAGTGACAGAACAACCAGTGTAGCCAACCTCTACTGAAATGTGCAGATCTGTTATTCAAATAGGTCAATCTGCCAAATGCCCTGTTGGCTTTTTCGGTCTGGGAGTTTCCTTTCTGAAAGATGATGTTCGCTGTCCATGGCAGCCTGCTGCAGTCTGATGATACCACTTAGAGGGAGAGTTTTTGGAAGAGGCTGGAAGACTGCAACCTTATTGTTTCTGTTTCAGGAGGACTTGGGCAGCTGCTGGCTGCCAAAGATTCTATTATGGTGCTCTTCCACCTTCCCTCTGCCTCTCATTTCCTTCTAAACTAGCTATCTTCTGAAGCCAGGAGAATATCAGTCAACCACTCCTAAGTTATTCCTCTTTCCAAATTCAAAGAATCACAGCCTGTTTCCACTTCATACTAAAGGGATGATTATAGTGAAAACAATCCTGCATACTAATAGACAAGCTAACATGAAACCCTGTGCCATCTTTTCTGTAACTACCAATTCTAAGGCTACAAAACATTTATATTACCATTCTTTAAGTTATTACATTATGTCTTCTAACTACTAAAAATAGGTCAGCTTTTCAATCCTGTCTACGAAGAAACATTGATTTCTTAGCGTACACTCTTCAGACTGAAGGCAAACAATTTCAGGTATAGATTCCATATCTATCCTTAGCCCACCGCAGTCTTTTTTAAAGTCTCAGCTGGGATTTCTAGGCATGGACTGAAGAGGTTGAGGGGGCTTGTCTCTTACTACCCTCAGGCAGCACACCCTGGGATTCCACATCATATAACATTTTCTCAGATGTGAAAATGCGAAGTCCCACATTTAGCTATGACATTTGTCTGGCCAAGGTTTGAACAGTTATTTTGGTCATTACCTTCTGTCAGTTGTTGACTCCCGGAGGAAGAGACACGTGTTCAGAAACCCAGGAAAAAGTAGTTAAAAATCACTATCATACAGCAAGACATTTTTACTTTGCATAACTTAAAAGCAAAAATATGTTTCAGTGCTGTCCCTTCCTCCCTTCTTGATACTTTTGTCCCACTGTTTCACCTTCAAATCCTATGCCTCACTGAGACTGTAATTTGGTGAGAATATTAGCTAATAAAATTGAGCCTCTGTACATACCCAGGCAGTGTAATTGGCTGCCTTAAAAAAATAGCTTTTTTATTAAATACCAAAATTCGTGATGCATTCAATCTATCAGTTTTTAAGATACTTAGATCAAGAAAAGTATCTAAAGAGACAAACTATTAATCAATTCAATTATTTTGCAGTTGAATGTCTCAATGATTGATCAGTCTATCACACATTAAAGCAAGAGACTGAGAGCAAATTTGGGTCCTACTTGAATTTGTTTCTTTCTTCACGTTCTATCCTTTGCAACCTTTCTTCTCTCTCCTGACGCCGTCTTTCTCTTTCTGCTGCCAAGGACTCCTGGTGCTGCCGAAAAGATGATGTAAGGAGACCACCCAAAGCTGGCCTGCAGAAAAGGAAGATCAGATTTCTCAGTGTCACTTTTATTGATTATACTGGCAAAAAATGAGTAGCAATCATGCAGCAAGTAACATAATCCCGACCAGCAGAATGACATGGCAATATTTATGTATGGATCTTTCAAAGCATTGGCTAAGCATCTTCTTGCTAAATTGATTATAGATTCTGCGATGAGCTGAAGAAAAACAATTAGGGTAGGCTTCCTAAATAGCAAAATTTCTAAAGCACAAATAAAGTGTGTGTAAAAATTCTCCAGTCTGTTTCAACTGCAATATTATCTAAATATTTTTTTAATTTTATAATCCTGTTAATAGAAAAGCTGAATCCTGTAAAGAATTTTTGAAATTTTAAAGGAAAAAACTGTTATGCAATGATGTTTGTGGCAGATGTGTCACAAACACCCGAGAATCTATATAGAAAAACAAAAGTAAAGGAAGACATCAGAAGTGCCCTAGAGAATTCAAATGCTCTCTTAAGTATCAGACATATTTTTCCTTTATACATTAATAAATTTGATTATCATGATTTTCTTACTGCATGTGCTGCTGTAAGAGCAAGATCAATCTCATATTAGAACATATCAATAAAACACACAGGGACAGTGTTCTCAAACCATTTTTAAAAACTAACAGAAATGATGGCCTCTACAGTAAAAACTTTACAAAACATAAAGCTACTTTTACATTCACTTATAGTTTGGTGCTGACATAGATTTTTTTTTGGCTTTACTCTAAGTAGTACTTTGTCTGGGAGAGTGGGTCCTCTTACACAACCTTCCCCCAACATGATGGTATTGGTACCACCAACCTCTGACATGGCAACCTCAGAGTAAACACATCGTGTCTTTCTTTCTGTCTCTTAGACAGGAAAAATCCTGTATTGTACAGGGTAGCTTTATACAGATGCACACTGATTGAATTAGGCTGATAAAATCAAAAAGACATAACTCATGTAGAGAGGTTTCTGTGCATTGTTGTAACATGAGTTTTGCAATGAAAGGATTAATGAGAGAAATAGATACTGACTTTTGTGTAAAAAGAAACTAAACCCTGCCTGCCTAGAGGAAGGTTCCTTAACCAGTATTGCAAACCTGAATAAATTTTTCTTATTTTTAAGAACTCAGACCCTGTCCCTTATTCATTTACTTGCCTATGGCTGCACAGTGTAGGCATTTAGCATAATGGCACCAATTCACTAGTGAACATAGGTGCAAAAGAAGATAAAAATATTAATGCAAACCTATCTTCCCCAAGAGTCTATGTCTGTATAAGCAGGAACACCACAAAACATAGCCATTTCAGCCCCACTGGCAACAGGGCAGCATGAATATAATGTCAATAATTTCAATAAATTGAATTTCAATATGTCATATCCCACCCGCATAAACATTACATAAGATGGTATAAAACTTGATATTCTGTAAGAGTCCCTGCTGGCATTCCTCCAAAGCTACAGTATCAATGCTGGATCACACTCAAAACCATAAAAATCTCTAATATGCTTCAGCACTAAGAAAAGGGAGAAAAAAATCCTCAAACCCTGACAGTCAAGTACGTGTGGTGAATTTTCCCTTGAGCATATTTTAAATTTATTTTAACTTTTGACCTCTTAGTGCATGTTTCAAGAGAAAGCTCTTAGCAGAAACAGTAGCACCAGTGTACTAAAATTCAAAAGCTAGAGCTCCATCCCTGTAGTAGCACAAAAAACTATGGCTATATGGTTGGATATAATATCAGAAAATACTTTTGGAAGGGGAAAAGCGAACAGTGCCTCCATGTGAAGATATATGTAAATTAACTAGGAGAGATGGCAAAAGAGGGTCCCTATCAAGTCTTTGTTTTTCTCTGTTTTGTGTGTTCTGCTTGATATCCCACCCTGCCCAGCTGCCATGAAGTCTGAAAACTCCATTTAATGTCAAAGGATGGTATGGCTTAAAAGAAGACTGAAGGAAAATTAAGGGGAAGAATGGGGTGATGCTGAGAGACCAAAAGAGTGATTGTAGATCTGCACATCATCTAGCAGCCTTCAGGCCTGACTGAGCTCTTTGAGGCCCTACAATAAATGCACATTCTTATGCAGGGGATTACAGGGAAATCACATGGAGATGCACAGCTTTGTCCTGCAGATGGGATTCTAAGCTAACCCTGGTAGTAAAATACCTCCACACCTTGTTTGGAGGTTTGATCCAGCATAGTTTGGCTAGCATTGCTCACTGGGATAAAATTTGCAGATGTATGAAGAGCAGCATCACAATTTAAATAGAAGATCCACAGCCATACGTCCAGAAGAAAAGCCAGTGTCTAAAGAACTAAAAATGTTAGCTGGCCATCTCTTCAAAACTAATAAAACCAACAGCAATTTGTCAAAACTTGGAATTTCTGTATTTCTCACTCGTTATGAGTGTGTACTTGAGCTGAATTACAAGCTGTGAACACACATACTCATTTCAATTCCTTTGTCCCAAACACAGCCATAATGTGTACAACACTTTCTTGCATGAAATGGTCAAATCTAACATTCCAAGGTGCCAGAAGGTTCTCTACATAGAGGCCATAATTAAACAGATAGGAACACGGTCAGCTGACCCCTTGTGTGACACTGACTTCTTAAAGCACAAATAGTCAAGGTTTTGGGTCTTCAGTCACATTTAGAAAAGGGCTGGCAAAGAAACAGCACTGCTGTAGCTGAGTTAGTGCTCGCTTAGTGGTTACACCCACTCAACAACACACGTGCCCTGGGCAGGGACACAACTCACACCAAACGCTGAGACCAGCTGCCTTATGAAGCCTCATGAACTCACAGCTTCACTGTAGATATCAAACATCGTGGCTCAATTGGTGTCTGGGTGCACCAATACTCTTTTTAATGTGAACTGCAACTGCAAATGCATGGTTTTAGTATTTAGTAAACTTATCAGTAATTTTCTACATGTGCATAACAACCTGGGTAAGCAGGTTACTTTCAGGGGGTACAAACCCGTTAAGCAGCCAGAGGAAAAGCGAGCATTAAGAGGTATTCCTCACACATTCTAAACAACTTGAAAAGGGATTTGGCAATGTACAGTTTGTCAACAAAATCTGATTTTTGTTTCTGTATTTCCCTGGCAATAACACTTAAAGTAAATATTCCCTTTCAGTGAGCGCATACTTGAATTGCAAATGGCAGCATGACTGACCAAACCGGCTGGTGGGAAGGCTAGGGCTCAGCCATTGGGTAATTTTGTTGTTTTGATGCTGTTTGAAGGGTGACAGTGCCTTCAGGCCTCATAAATTTTTACGTCTTATTGCTGCAGGCTGCATTTTAAAAATGGATAAGCAAGAAAAAGGCTAAAAAACTTCTGGCATTGAATCAAAGGTGATAAGAGATTTTAACAGTAAAGAGAATGTGAATGCTCAGTGAAAGCATAATAGAGTGATCACTTGCAAAATGGGGTTACATCTAATATATGCCAGTATTTTAGTGCTGGTGTCATATGTTACCAGCTGGTAATAACAACCATTTGTTCAGCTCCACAAATACAATCCAGAAGGATGCTTACTCTGACTACTATTTTTAGTCTTGTAGAGAATGCAAGGCTATTAAGAATGGACTGTTAATATAAAAAATGTTAAGAAAAGCTTTCTTATGCCTGCTGTTAAAACCAGTAAAAGCTAAACAAGTGATGTTATTACTTTCTCATTCCAGAAAGAAAATACACAACCAGAAAGCATCTAGGTCTGTGGATTTGTGAATAGAGCTCCTCACCATGGAATCAGGACACAGGGCCAAAGAGGTCATTAGTAACTTATCTTACTGGAAGAAGAGATAGGAGAAGGAAAGAATTGGGGGGGGGGGGAAGAAAAGAAGGTAAAACATACACAGAGCATAGGATACAAAGCCAGAAGTTTGACTGTAGGCCAAAGCTCTTCTGAATAAAAATTCAGCTAGCCTGACCTACAGCATTTAACACAGCAGTGAATCAGTAATCATTATTATAAACACAAATTGATGTAGACGTAAGACCTCTCACACTTTTTTGCAAGTTCTTGAAGTTTTCTGAAAATACTCCATCACGGACTATACATTGTGAAGGGGATTATGTGCCCTGAATTACTCTAATCTTGTTGCAAACCGAAGAAAATATTTCTGTTTTAATGAAAGCAAAACTGAAACTCTGAACTTCAAACATTCTTCATTCATGTAAGCTCTGAGATACTATTTTGTGGCTGCCTTTCCCTCTGTTTAGTTGAGTTTTTAAAATTTGCTAAATAGAAATGGTTATCTACAGGAAGAATACAAAATACAAATGTATATTTTTATGAGCTAAAAAAAAACCCAGATGACTTTCTCATGAGAGGAAATCCCTTTAGGTCATAAGGTTAATATTCAGGATTGTCTTTAATACCATATGGGGCAGAAAAATTAATAACTTTAATATGGAAGCACTAATTACCTAATTTTGCAAAGTGCTCCTTTTCCAGCAGCCATGGGAAGGCTACAGTGAGGGTACAACAGTCAGCAGCTCCTACTTGGCCTTAAGTAACTCTAAAGGTCTCTTGGCTTTAACAAAATAAATCCATTTTACAGCTTAGAAAGAGACAAAAGGGGAGGCAAAGCTGCCAAGAGCCATATTGCTTTTCACAGTTAAAGAAACTCCCTGTGTGTTATGTCTCCTTACATGACATGGCAAATTCAAAAGCATGTTGATATAAGACTTTGCAAACAGACTAAACATTACTTAAGGAATCTTTATAAAACTTCTCTCAAAAATAAACATAAAATTGAGAGCTAAAACTACTAATGCTTCCTTTAAGAAAGAAATTTGAGAATGACTAAGAGAAGAACTGATTAATGTTAGACTTTTAAGTGATACAGGGGATTACCCAAATTAGAACTACAGCAGGACAGAACTGCACACAAAGCCTAAGCAATGCACAAGGACTTTCTATATACACTCTCCTCTTCCAGCTGAACTGTACAGCTTTTACACTGTGCTTCTGTCTTCAA